GAGTCAGGAGGATCTCAAGTTTGAGCTTAGCCTTGGCAACTTAGAGACTTAGTGAGACCCTCTTTTAAAGTAAAAGATAAAAATAGGCTGAGGATATTTCTCAGTCTTAAAACCCTGGCTTCAACCCCTAGTGACATTTAAGAAAGGAAGAAAGAAAGAGCGAAGAAAGGAAAGAAGAAAGAAAGACATTTGCACCTGGCCTAAGACTTATTCCCAGAGAAGATGATTGTGATCTTCCAAGGTTGACTGCTGAATTCTCTGGAAAAAAAGAAAATGCACTCCCCCGACACACATCCCTTAAATTGCTACTTTCTGCTTAAAGGCAGGTGGGCAGTGTCCTTCAGTCTTTACTAAACACTAGGAATTTTCACTTTACAGAAAACCCACCACAATGACAAAAGGAGTGGTCCCTTTTCCCAAGCAGTGTAAGTCACAGTGCTTCCTCCTCTGCATTTGGACCGGAAGAGTGAAGATTCGTATCCACCCTGATCATTTGGTGATGTCTGAATACATTTTGGGTTATCACAACCTTGGGCAGGACTAGTGGCATCTCTTAGAATGAGGCCACAGAGGATGCTCAACATCTTACATTGTCCAGGACAGGCCTGCTATAAAGCGTCATCTGGAGTACACTGTCACTGGCATCCAGGAGGAGAAGCCCTGAGAGAAGACCACACAGCAGAGCAGTTATAGCAGCGGACATTTAGAGGCTATGACACAGAACTTCAAGTGCTTTCACTAAGTTTCTCTTTACCTTGTTTCTTGAGACAGGCTGCTTCCTTGGCCTGATCACTACAGCCATTGCTCCCTCTTCCACTGAAAGTGAGAGAATCTTGGAGACCACTGTCTCTAGAGCACAAAGTAAATTGGGAGGTGGCCCTGTGCAGGCCTTATTATACTACCAAAGGTAGCTTTTCTCAAACTTTGCCCACAGATCACTTGGGGTAGTAGAGAAGCAGATTTGGCCTCCACAGTGGAAGCATTTCAGGCCTGCACTTGCTACAGCACTACAGGAAGAGGCAGCTGCCAGCTGCCCCGTGATGACTGAGTGTAAGGAAATGTTCCTGTCCCAGAAATGACGTGATCTTAGTCCACTACAGTTAACTCATTTCTCCCAGGATGCTCCGCTGAGAATTCTGAAAAGAATCTGAAAAAGACACTTCCTGGACCTCCCGCTCCAGGCACCAAGCAATGTACCCCAGAACCCACTGGTCCTCTGGCCTCCCGAAGTGTCCTGGAGGAGCACAGGATTGGCCCGCTCTGTGAGCACATTTTCACTGCACAGTGCCCTGCTCTTCCTTCCTGGCTCTGTAATAACCAGTGGGGCTCTCTTCAGAAGATCTAAGGAGAGACGATATGAAACAGGGAGATCAATTTGGGGAGGAATGGGTTTGGGGAAAGGACAGAGAAGAGGGTGGGGAGGACGATCAAAAATAAGCAAAATATTTTTGTGGGAAAATGGGTGGATCTCTGAGACCATCACGCTAAGCAAAATAAATCAGACACAGAACTTTCAATATCACATTCCCTTATGTGAGAAACCCAAAATATAAATAATGTGAGAGCAAAATAAAAGAGATGGCAGGAAACTGGAAGGCAGACTTCGTGAAGATGGGAAGGGGACCTAGGGCTAGGGGAGAGGAGAGGACAGAGGGAAAGGGGGTAAAAATGATAGAGATGCGGTATGTGTATGTACCAAACCCTCAAATGAATGTAACTACTATGGATCACAAAAGTATACTATTAACAAAAATAATAATTGAGATATAATACACATGTACTAATTCTTCAAAATGTGTGTAATTATTATTCACCCCCAACATTTACCAAAATAATAATAATAAAAACAACAACAACAATAACAATAACTAGCAGGGCTCCAGCCCCAAGCAGCACTTAAATCTGGCAACTCTCTGGGGAAAGTTCCTTGGTAATCACGTAAACCGTCCAGCAGCCAGCCATTCCTGGAAATGCCTTTGTGGGGACAGGCAGGAATCTGAAAACCGGCAGAAAAAGAAACCTGTTCATGCAAAAGGAGCAAGTTCCAATTTCCGCTCCGGTTCGTGTGGGCTGGAAACAGGTGGAAGAATTTGAGTGTGTGAAAGGGACATGGAGCCCCGCAGAAGGAAGAAATGTTCTACCAGCAAACCTGAGTCCTCTGGACCCAACCTGTCAGGCAGCCTGCAGACCGAGAATTTATGGATGTGTTTTCAATTTCTCTGACAGAATCTGTTTGGATTGAGGACAGCTGTTTAATCTTTGAAATATGTGTTCCATAACAAACGCTGGAATCACATATAAATCGCTCCTTTCATTCTGCGAGCCAAACCCTGACTAAAGGGGTTTGCAAATCCCCACAAGGTGCTCTTTGCTTATTGCTCACTCGGAAAGAGGGAAAAAAAAAAAAAAAAAAAAAAAACACATTTCTTTAATGAAATGCAATGTTGAGGAACTGCCAAAAATAGATGCTCCCTATCTGCCTTCACATATGGTAGCTTCTTTCTAGCCAATTAACTACCAATGAACTGAGGAAGAGCTGTAAGATAGGGCATGCGCAGACAGCCTGGGCACAGATGGGTGTCTCTGATCCTGACTCCACCCATGAAGGCCCAGGAAGCCCAGCTCAACCCAGACTGTTATTTACAAGGCCATTCTTCTTTGCCTTAGCTAAGCCTGCAGAATTAAGACTAATGGGTTGTCATCTTTGAGAAAAATCCTGTTTGTTTATTCTCTGCCTCTGGCTTTTAACTCTATCACGGTAGAGAACTATCTATCTAAGGCCCACAAAAGGCTATTCTTTCATGAGTTTTGCCAACAGACTTATTTCTACATTAACACCATGCTGGAGAGATTTTTTTATTTTTTTGGTGTGGAACAATAGTAGATATGGGTTTTACATTGTCTGAAAATAAGCAACTTATATCCATTTTATATTTCATGAACTCTTTCTCCAAATTTCAAACTAACCAATGAATAGTTTGGTATCTGTGTATTTATACTTTTTTTCTCTCCAAGCCAATATAAAGCTACAAAGAAATATTTTTTTCTGCCAGGTGATCTCTTTTATATAATTTCTGATTAATGTGGGGTCCATGGGAAGATTTTTTTGAGGGGGGGGAAGAGGTAACATTTAAGAGAGGTATTTGTGTTTTGAGTTTTTGTTCATTGCATTTTTGTTTGTTTAGGAAGAAATGACTACCAGAATTGAAAAGAGGCAACTGACTAGCCCACTCTATGTTTATTTGGGGGTCTTATAATTAAACTGAACTAAATGCTACATGTCCTTTAATAACACAAAATTAATTTCCAATTAAAAGTAATGAGAGGACTTCATAATGGGGCAAAATGATAATATCTACCATTTTCATGGTCATATTCCATGCCAGGGACTTCTCAGTGATTAACTCATTTAATTCTCACAACTGTGCTGCTGGGTCAAGAGCAGTAGCTCACTCTACAGAGACAGAGAAACCTAGGCTCATACAGCTTCGATGTCTTTGACAGTGTCACAGTCAGGGCTCAGTGGAACTCAAGTGCATTCTAACATTGGTGTGACTCCTTCGATGCAACACTCAAATTGTTAGAATGTCAATTTTGTTTGCTCTTAGGATATCATTAGACCTAGGGAGTTTCCAGACATGGCTTTAAATATCACCAGTATGTCAGTGGTATGGTTTATATCTACAACCCTAATGACGACCCTGAATTTTAGATTAAATGTCCAACAGATATTTTCATGCTCCTTGCTTTGTCTAGTCCATCTCAGTAACTGGCAGTTTGACTCTACCATTTTATATCCAGCCCACCGGCAAATCTGTTGACTTATCATTGGAAATACATCCACAATTCAAGAACTTCCCTCTGCATTGATCATCTATTGCAGCAGCCTCTAGCCAAAATCCTGGCTTCCATACTTACTGTCCAAAAGTCAGAATGATTTGTGGACAACCCAAGTCAAATATGTCACTCCTTGAAATTCTAGGTCTTTATGTGGCCCTTCAATATCCTAAGGCATCTACTAACATCTATCCTTCTCCCAAAGGAAAAACAGAACACATTTAAAATATCCCCTCACCCCACACCAGACATAGTTTCAGTCATTAGTCCCAAGAGGGATCCATCAGGTAGGCCCATTTCTGTAGCAAGGCATTTGTATTTAACTGTCCCCACAGCTGGATCCCTCACCTAAAAAGGGGAGATTCCTTTAAAACCATATTGAATCTCCCATCCAAGTACTAAGCAGGCCCAACCCTGCTTAGCTTCCGAGATCAGACCCAGGGGTGAGAAAGTACAGAAATACTTAGGTAAATATCAGGTTGCCCCCCCCAATATAAAATCATGAGTGATGGGGAGACCTGAAAATACACGTTCATTCTGGGGGAGTAAAGGAGAGGAATAGTCTTCAAAAAAAAAAAAAAAAAACAGCAGAAGATATAGCTAATAGTGTATCAGGAATTAAAACCCTTATTATTCTCACCACTCTGCTTGGTTGGAACTTGTTCCATCCTAGTTTGTATACAAGCACTGGATCTGAGGGCACAGACAGCTGTCCCAAAGATATCAAGACATAAACTGATCTTGGTTAAATCTGACTTGCTTAAATACTGCTTATTACTGACAGATTTTATTCAGAACTGTTAGGTTGCTGGTATCAAGTTGAGGAGTATAAACAACTATACTGAAAATGACAGTGATTCACCATGATATCCATTCTGATTTGATTACTACCTGTTTTTGTAGCTCTACACTATCTACAAAGTTGTATTTCTGTTAATCCTGTTATGTACGGATATGTTCAATTATACTTTATCTGATGATATAGCAAATTCAGTTGATGATAACAAGAAACAGCACAGTAACCATGGTAGAACTCCTTATACAGCAGTTTTATATGTCTTTTTAGTTTTATGTGTCTATAGGAGTATGTTTAGTTCTGTCCTGCTTTGTTCTGTTTCTCCCTCTAATATAGAAAGGATAGAAATACATGTTAAGACTCATGCTTGCGTAAAACCTATAAACAGTTTATTAGAACTGATCTTATGACACATGATAAAATGAACAAATACTTTGAAGGAAAGACAGGGGCACTGCAGTACCCAGTGCTGATTCCGGAGTGTTATGATGTGAAATCCAGCAATATTATTAACCTTTGTTCAGAAGGATTTTAATCTAATAAGTTTTGTTAGGTCTCAACATAAACAAAGATATGGATAAATGCATACATGTCTAAGTGTATAGGATTGACACTCATATTACTTAGTTTTTGTTGGATAGTTGAACAGAATGGTTTGCAGTCTCCCCAGTTGAATTCCCATTTATATGTTCCACTTTTGTATCTTAAACACTTATTTGTGAGGGGGAAATATGTCTACATCAACTAATGATTTATTACTGTTTATTTCTTTTCTTTGAAAGTATGTACTATTTCTGCCCATTTTCTATTATTCTACCTTTCTCTAAATAAAAAAAAAAAACATATTGAATAGCACCTCTTCTAGGGCATGGGTATGTGGGCAATTTTTCTTTAAGGTTGAAAATTTTCAAAATAAAAACACACAATTCAAAACCTTGTGGTTCCCTGAGTACTAGAGAAAATTTTTGCTGTTGAAGAAAAGGATGAGGCTAGGTGTGGTGGTGCCCACCTGTAATCCCAGTACTTTGAGAGACTGAGGGGGAAGGATCACAGTTTGATCCCAGCCTAGGCAATTCAGAGACTTCATGAGATTCTGCCTCAAAATAAAAAATAAAAAACAGTGTAAAAGGCTGGAGGTGTAGCTCAATGTGAAAGCCTTGGATTCAAACCCAAACACTACACACACAGGAAATGAAGGATAAAATGTCAAAAATATCAGACTAAACTGCATCCCACCCTAGGCTCCAACATAGGATAGATATGTAGATGACCTGGGCACAGTGGTCCTGCCCTATGCTTGGACATTTAGAACCATGGTCTTAATTTTTATTTAGTCATTGCCCAATTAGCCAAGAACAATGGATTTAAAAACCAATCAATTGGGGGCTGGGGATTTAGCCCAGTGGCATAAACGCCTGCCTTGCAAGCAGGCAGTCGTGAGTCCGATCCCTGGTATCGATAAAAACGAAAAAGCCAAAAAAAAAAAAAAATCACTACTTTTTTCTTTTTTTCCTTTTTTTTTCCAATCTATTTTATTTCCAAAAAAAAAAAGTCAACCAATTAATGTCACAATCTTAAGGATGGGCCTTTAACTTAGTTATATGCCTCAGCCATATCACCAGGACAAAGTTTGCAGAGATCTGTTGAGCAGAAACATGCTTGAAATCACAGTATCTGTTCCATTCGTGACGTGCTTGTTGAGGACTCTGTGCTTGTTTTATTCTTAAGAGTGGGGTTCAAACATTTAATTTTTAATAAGGCGCCAATGTTTACAGTGTTACAATAAAAAACCCAAAAGTTGCTACGTGGTTGTTCCAACACCAAATGCAAATATATCTCATAAAAGTCTCATGTACAGTCATTCTCAACTCACCTAGAACAGCAAATAAATAGTTATTACCAAACCGGTGTAAAATGGGATCTGGTTAATGTTTCCCAAGGTAGACATACAGGCTCCCTTCTCGTGTAAATCATTTCAAAAGCTAGAGGCTGAGTCTGATAAAACACTGCCTACACAAAATTAAAATGAAAACGTAACAATTAAATGGGAATCCAATGATTTTCCTCCTTGGTTTTCACATCTTTTCCATCTCACTACCTGATAAGGAATACTGAGCAGACTTTGCATGTGTTGAGCATTTAACATAATCAGATCTCATCTAAATGAAATAAACAGCTGCAATGCCTTCAGTTTCCATGGCTTAGTAGGATTAAAAGTGTATCTGCTTACAGGTCCTCTCCTTCCTAAGACCTGATGAGCCCTATGAAAGCTAAGCAGGGAACCTTGAGGCTGCCTGCTTCTAAGCAACGCCTAGTGCTCAATATTGAATGATTCACTTTGAACACATTGACCTTTTCCCTACAGCCAGAGGAACATCTGCACTCCCAACGGGTACACTGAAAAACACTTGGAAAACATTCACCTGTCGCTTTCAGGATACCCTTTATTTGGTGTCCTACAGCCCATTTCCTCAGTAATGGGAAAAACAAGAGACAAGTGATGTGTCTTGTTGAGAACTCCTTTTCCATTATGTGCCCTGGCTCTGCACATTAAAAATGGATTCAGGGGGGAAAAAAGCAGAACTTTCAAACGTCTGAGAAAGAAACAAACATTATTCAGATATTTGTTTTATTCTCCATCAGGTAAAGTAAAATAAAATTCTGCACTGGGATACACCAAAACACCTCAGAATTCCACTTGGCTACTTTTACAAAACGATTGTGACCAAGAGCTGCACAGTGTTCCACTGGAGCTCAGATGAGACCTTAGCCAGTGGGGGACCACATGTCTGAGATGGAGTCCCAGGGAAGAAGGCCATTGACTATTAGCACCCCAACTGCAGACTCCCCATCCTTGACCTTCACCTGCCTATCTGACCCTGTCTTCCTATGGCGATCCTGATTCCTACACCAGACTAGAGGATCAACTTGCAAAGAAAAGAAGACTGGATTATTTCCAAAACCACTCTCCCAAAAGCTTCCCATATATTTGCTGATCCTCTCTGTTCTGAGCACCGAGAGAAGGACACAACTCTCAATTTTGCCCTTCGTGACCTTGCCCTAGAATAAAGCATCCCCTCAGCCCGCTAGCTAGGTTAGAAGAAAATTCTGTGATTTCACTGACCTTTGGCTACCTGTCCACAGTTTCCTGTTCTGTTCCAGTTTAGAGGGCCTCCCATATTATACGAGACTGGGCTATAATGAATACTCTTTCCTGATACTAGCCAGCTCTAAGGCGAGCCACATGGGACTATGAGGGAAACTACACGAGGCAGACTTTAAAACTACGATTTAAAATGCAGGAGAACCTTGCCCAACTGCTCATGTTCTGTGGAAACCCCAATAATAACACTAGCATTAAAATCTACTGCTTAATATTTATGTGCTGTGAATGAGACAACAAATTTCCTTCTAAGACCAAAGTTGAAATTCTCTGTTAACTGGATATTTTTCTGCTGATGTATCCATTTGGTGTTAATCTGGAGGAGAGCAATTAATAATGGAAAGAAATTTCCATAGCTGACAGCATGACTTGACTTAAACTATTTTAATCCAGAGAATGTGTATCTTTTTGCAACTAGAATGTTTTTACAACTAGAAATTCACTTGTACCTAAATTTCTATCAAAATGAAAATTCTTATTAAGACTAAGGAGATTGTTAAGAATGGGAGAGTAAAGAACAGGAAGGGCAATGGCAGGAACATGATGATAGAATTTAATCTGGCAGATATATTTTCCTCCCAAGAACCAATTCCTCTTCCTTATGAGGGAAACCAAATGTCATTCACAAATAATGTGCCTAACTAAAACATTTCCTTCCCAGACTTGCATGTAGGTATGGGGAGCTGTGGAACAGAATTCTAACCAATTGGTGTAGCCGAACATGCTGGAGAAAGCTCTGCTTTCATGATACAGATATTGAACCTGTTAATTGCCTCTTTGTTCTTTATCCCACTTAGAAAGCAGACATGGTACCTGGAGGTTCAGCAACTACCCTGTAACTATGGGACAGTAAGTCAAAGACAGAGGATGAGCACGGTAGAAAAGAAATGCCTAAGGGTTTTGGTCCCAGTCAATATTATGGAAGCAGTCCTGGGGTGCCTCTCTTCCAGATTTCTTACTCAGCCCTGCACTACTGTTTGGATTTTCTGTTATTTGTAGTCAGGTGAACAGGAACCTGAAACATCAATATTCAACAGCAATGAGATTGAAAGGGATGAGGACAATTCTTGGAAAAGGAAGGAAGAAAGACAAAAGTGAAGAGCCAAGAGGGATAAATCGTATTATCATAGCATGGGCCCCAAACATAGTTTAGTTCTTCCTGCAGAAGAGACAGAAGTCCTGATGAAAAGAATAAATTTGTCATTAAGTCAAATAAAAAATGCCTGATGTTTAAATCGGCTGTACAAAATTGAACTCTGTCCTTCGGTGCTGTGATTGCTAGTGTGAAAGTGCACACTTAGACATTGAAACTGGACAGTTTGCATCCTACAGAGAAGAGAATGGAACAGATTTAGAATCAATTTAGTGTTTCTCTTCCAATCCATTTGGAGGAGTTCCCACTGAGAACTCGAACACCTCATCCTCTTCACAGTCATATCTGAAAAACCCTGAGAGGAAAAATAAGTTGAAACACTGGGGAGCCAGTTTTGACCCTTGCATATGCTACTCGGAAATTAAAACATGCTCGTGGCAAGCGGAGCGCATACAGGCCATGACCCACGGAAAGTGCTGGATTGATCAATTATTAAGAAAGCACAAGCAACAGCCGTAAGTAAATGAAGCAAATGCAGTGGGGATGTGAATCAATACTCAGGTGTATGTTCCTCCAAAGATGGATGCGGCCTCTCACAAGAGAGCAAACAACATGCCTCACAACATGCTTCAGTAGTTCCTGGACCAGGCCTATGGTGCTGGTCAGTTCCACGGCGCAGGTCTGACACAGTAAAATGATTTCTTCGAGGTCCTCATGGTAAGCATCCATAATGTTAGCTCAAAAACTGACAAACAGCAAAACTAATGGGCAATGAGCTGAGAACAGAGTGAGAAATGGGGCAGTCATGAGCAGACTCATGGGGGCAGACTTGCAGCTCTCAAGCTGTTCAACTTTAATTTCTTTGCCTTTTCCAGCAAGGTAAGTGCAACTGTCTTTAGTATGATTCGGTAACATAGCAGCAAAATTTCAAGAATCAATAAATAAGGGGCATTGCCATGCCAGTTCCCCTTTGTCCTTTGACTCAAAGCTTCAAATGTGTTCCGAGGTTACAAACATCAGCCTTGAGCAGATGGGGCCGAAGCTTCTCCATGTAGCACTTGTGTTTCATGTCATTACATAAACTACATCATGTACACCCTCCCACATGCCCCCACAGCAGTTAGCAAACTCATTAAGAAACACAGCTTGAAACTCGTAAGGGTTAAAGCTATAAAACGTCTATCACTGATGGTTTCTCTTAAAAAAAAAAAAAGTTTCATCCTTCTTCCCCTCCTTTCAAACAAAGTGTTTGCTTTTGCTGCTGCCAGTGCATTATCTTTCACTGGTATAATAATGTATCATTTATTCCTTTTTAATGATATAATCAATGTTTTTCTCAAAATAATCTCCACTTTGTTGCTAATTAAACATGATGGATTCAGGGTCCTGGTTTGCCATCTGGGCCATGTGTCTCAGAACATCCTTTTTTGTGATGATGCCAAGAAGTCTCCTGGAGTGGAAAGAAAACAGAGAAAAGATCAGCCTTGTACCATGGATTTGTTTCTTTCTGTAAGCCACTGTGTCTTTGCCACCTGAGCACAGGGTCAGGTGAGGTTTCCCAGTGTCCCTTGTGGTTGGGCAAGGCCAATAGACTCAGTTCTGGCCAAATGGCCCACAGGTGAAGGTGGCGGATGCCACTCTCAGTTCTCCTGCACATCTTACCTGGTAGTCAGAGGCAGAGGAGACAGTGAAGGACTCGGGGGCACAGAGGACTGACTTACGGACCACCTAATTTTAAAAACCAGGTCTGTCTATGCCAGTCTGTGTGGTCAAGAGGCCATACCTGCAAACCACATAGGATATGACGTGCAAGAAAAATAAAACCTTTATTGCATCAGACCACTGAGATTGCAAGTGTGTTTATTACAGCTGTAAGATTATTATAACTAATGCCCTCTCTCAAATTTCAAGGCAATAGTCAATTTAAAAAGTGCTTAGGAGCCAGGAATGTGGTGCACACCTGTAATCTCAGTGCTAGGGAGGCTGAGGCAGGAGGATGATTGTGAGTTTGAGGTTGGCATGGGCTACAAAGTGAGTTCAAGGGCAGCCTGAATTCCAGAACAAGACCTTCTCTCAACAAGAATTTGAAAAAGTATTTATGAAAGCCATTGTCAAAACTTGATCACACCAACAAATTCCAAGTATAAGGAATTTTAAATGTAAATAATGTTAAGTATAAGATAAAATTTATTTTGTAATTTGATCTTACCAGAACGATAAAGTTCAACATGTAGCTCTGATCTGCAAGTTACCTCCTCTTACCAAATCTTAATAATTTCAATTTATGAAAAACAGCATCACTTTCACCAGTGTCCCTTGCACAAGACCACCCTGACTGTACATCACTAACCCCAGGGAGCGCAATTCACAAACACTACAGTGTAACAGTGCTCCCTGCATTCTGCTCATCTGCACAGTTATCTACAGCAACCGTTGCTTCATTGTTTTATTAAACACCTAAATGGCAACCTGTACGAACAAAGCATGCTTCCCAGGTAAAGTGAAAGGCTTGAAGAAGAGGATGTGCACAACTTCTTTGGAATATAAGCTGCATTGCCAAACATGCTCGCCAATGACTGTTCAGTATATCTCCAGCACACCCAAGAAAAGGAGAATTGGGAAACAAATTATAATAATCACACATAAGAATACTCTATAGCTATTAAAATGACAGGTTTCAGAGACAAGTGTGGTGGTGCATGCCTGTAATCCCAGCTACTTAGGAGGCCGAGTTAGACCCTAGATGGCAAGTTTCAATCCTACCTGGGCAACTTGGCAAAGGCCTGGAGATGTAGGTCACTGCAAAGGTCCTGAGTTCAATCCCCATGATTACACACATAAAAGACAGCTTTATACTGTGTCCAAGAAAAATGATGATATATGAAAAAAAATCAGAAAACACAATAGTAATATCTTGTCATTTTTAATTAAAGCTAAAAATAGCTAAATTCACCTTTTCCTAATAGAGTGTAAGAAGAGGTTATTAACATCAGTTACATGGTGAGAAAGGCTGTAATTTAGACTTTGTTGTATTTGATCATGCTCGAATTTACACAACCTTGAAAATGTGACTTATGTCTTGCGTAGGTAGACAGGTGATAGAAATACTGCCCCTTCGCCTCCATTACAGAGGAACAGCTTTAGGAGACAGGAAAAGAGCAAAAGGGAGTTTTAACAGCAGACTAAGCAGCAGCTGTGGAGGGGGTACCGTTGCCGGAAGGGAGTATGCAGCAGCGGTGAATAGGCACAGAAAACTCCAGGAACTGCGGGTTTTCTCTCAAGCTCTTTGGGGTTCCTTGACTTTAGCCATGGTCGGGCATTACTTTAAATACATTTCTACAATATATTACAGTACAATAAAACTGAAGACACTCCACAAAACAAGATGCTGTTCTACAAAACCATTCTTTTTTGTTTTGTTTTTTATACTGAGAATCAAACTCAAGACCTTGCGCTTGCCAAGCAGGCCACTGTGCCACTGAGCTACATCCCTGGCCCACCGACAAAACTACTTAGTTGAATCTAAGTCTATTTATTAGCCACCCAGGATGCTATAACAAAATACCATAGACGCGATGGCTTAAACAAGAAACATATTTTCAAAGTGTCAGATCAACGTGCTCACAGGGTCATTTGCTCCAGAGGCCACTCTTCTTGATTTACAGATGGGCACTGCCACCTCCTTGCTGTGTCCCTACATGGCTTCTTCTCTGATCCTTTTGTCTCTCTTCTCATGAGGGCACCAGTCCCATTGAATTAAGGCCCACTCCAATGCTCCCATTTAACCTTAAAGGCCTGTGCCCTAACAGTCACAATGGAGGTTCAACAATGGAAATCTAGAGATGAGAACATGATTCAGTCCATAGCAGTTCTTCAAATGTTGCTGCATTAAACAGCTGCAACAGAACAGTGCTCTCTGAATGCTTCCCTTCTTGAGGCAGGCAAAACTGCAAAACATATAACCTGCAAGAACTGACTTAAATGAGCTAATTTGTTCCCCAAATGTTGCTACAATCTTGCAACAAGGACACTGAAAGGAACCACACACCACCATGCTTCTGTGTAGTGAGATGCTGGCTTTTCCCAGGAACGTGACTGTATGAGTGTGACCACAGCTCAGTGAATCAAGATTCTGCATTGGCTCTGGTCTCCTTGCACAGAGATGTTGCTGAGTCCAACTGGTGGCCCCTGAGAACTTTTCCACCCTTATTTGCTTAGGTCCTTGGGGGTCAACTGCATAACAAGAGCTACTGCATTCATTCCATGAGAGGTCAACATTTTCTCCAGGCGCTGTTTCCAGCGCTTTACCAAATCACCTGTTGCTGTGGAAGCTTTGGTGAGCTCCTGGGTCACTAGAGCTGCCCTTTGCCCTGGTAGCTGAGAAGAGCAACCCAGGTTTCTAAAAGAAAACAGGCTTCTTCCTGGGATCCCAGTCAGATACATTTTGTGTTCACACGGAAGGTGCTAATAAATTTCAAGGGAGCAGTGATATCCAGGCAAGGTGGCTCTGACATTGGGAAGGGCTACTATGTAAAAGCAAATGGACATCCCCAGTGAGGTCCCTCCTGTACAGCAGCAGCTATCCCAACCTGAGTCTATGCCTTGGCAAGGCTGTACTGTACACAGGGTTTCTCCACCTTGACACAAGTGACAGTTAGGAGCCTGGTGATTTTATGCTGGCTTAGGGGAGCTGTCCTGGATAGGGTTCTATCCTCTACATCCCTGCCCTCTGGTTGTAACAGCTGGAATTTCTCTAGACTCTGCTAAACGTCTCCTATTGGCAAGGGTCAAAATCAACCCTTGTTGAGCACCATCACCTAAAAGGTGCTGAAATATTTCCATACTTGGTGCCCTGCAGCCATAGAGGTGAACAGTCCTTACCACTTTTATATTACATTTATAAACCAACTGAGCTCATCACAATTCTTAACCAAAAACTACTACTACCTAGCACCAACTCTTAAGCACACTTTTAATATCACTCCTAAGAGCCTTCAAATAAAAGTAATTCAAGCAGAGCATGGTGGCACATGACTGTAATCCCAGCACTCTGGGAGCTGAGACAGGAGGATTGTGAGTTCAAACCCAGTCTAGCCAACTTATTGAGACTGTCTCGCAATCAAAAAATGAAAAGGATTGAGGGGTGTAGGTCAGTTTGAACATCCTGGGTTCAGTCCCTGGAGGTGGGGGGAGACCAAGATCCTGTAAGGGTACACATACACTATGCCATCAGCACAGAATATAGAAGTCCTACATTCTCACCAGTTCTCTGGACAGGTTTCACAGTGGCCTAGGAGTCTAGATCCTTAGAGATGATGCTGCATACCTGCTCCCAGATCTATTTTCCACTCTTATTACAGGCTGCTGTGTAGATAGCACCAGTATCCTCTGGGGCCTAAGGCCTATACCCAAAGCCCCTGATGGCTTCCACTAAGCACAGCTCTGCCTGTAGTGTAGTGCCTGGCAGCTGGTCATGCTTTGAGAAATAGGACACCTGGAAGAAGCCCATTTGGGGCTGACTCTCTATCCAATTCCCTTTAACTGTGAGCAGTGTTTTGCCTCTTAGGTTGTCATAACTTTATCTCAAATAAAAAGACAACCTAAATGTCCACCACCAAACTGAACCAATAAGCAAATGTGGTGCATCCATATGGCGGGTGAATTTAACTAAAGGAGCCAATCACGAGAGGTCACATTTTGGGTGATGCCATTTATATGAAGTGTCCAGAATAGGCAAATCCTTGAAGGCAGAAAGATTAGTGGTTGTCAGTGGCTCGGGGGAGGGTGAGACAGGAAATGACTACTAATGGGAATGGGGCTTTGTGGGGAGAGATGGAAAATGTTCTGGAATTAGAACAAGACAATGGTTTTACAACCTTATGAATACAACACAGCCCTTGAAATGTATAATGTAAGATAGTGAATTTGAATGGTATATGGATTATATCTCTGTAGGAAGGGAGGTGGAAGGGAAGAAGGGGACAGACCAAGTTAAACAGAGTTACCACATGAATCAGCTATCCCATTCCTAGGTATATGCCCAAGAGAAATGAAAACACATGTCTACACACAAATCTATATGAATCTGCTTTGTAACAGTATTATTTATAATAGCCCAAAATGGAAACAACCCAAATGTCCATCATAGAAGACTTGAATAAACAAAATGTGGTCTACCCATACGATGAAAGACTGTTCAGCCATAAACAAAATGAAGCACCATACGTGTTTCAACATGGATGAACCTTGAGAATACTATGCCAAGTGAAAGGAGCCAAACACAAAAGACCACCCTAGTATAGAGTTACATGACTTCATGGCTGGGTGATGTCCAGAGGGACCAAGCCACAGAGATCAGGAGTAGATTAGTGGTTGTCAAGGACTGTGGTACAAGGAGGTGGTAGCTAGAGGCTATAGAGATTCCATTAGTGATAGAAAAGTTCTAAGGTTGATGGTGGTAATAATGTACAACACATTTCCTACTAAAACCACCAGATTATACATTTTAAATGGGTACCTTGTATGGTCCATGAATTATTTCAATAAAGCTATAAAACAAATTGAGAAATCAGTAAAAATGAAGGCAAGGCCTCATGGGTTACACAAGGTTCCACTCACCATTCAGAGGCTAAGAATCTGGTGGCAGCAACAAAGGGTAGGTGAAAGAATTCTCTATCCGACTTCTGTCAGAAAGCAGAACTTCAAAATGAAGGATAAGAGAAGAATAGATGGAAGTGTAAATCATGCGAACATTTGCAAATGTTGAGATTTGGATGGCCCTTCCAAAATTAAAAAAAAAGGGGGGCAAGGCAGGGGAAGGGCCAGGGATATAGTTCAGCAGCCACAGCACCTGCCTCATAAGTGCGAGGTTGTGCGTTTGATTCCTAGTACAAAAAAAAAAAAAAAAAAAAAAAAAAAAAACAGTTATAAGGCCAGCAGCTCATGCCTATAATATGCCACTCTGCAGGCCATGATTGAGATGGAAACCAATCAGAGCAAAAGTGAGCAGACAGGGTAGGACGCTCACAGGTGTTTTTAGACTATGGGTAGGAAAGCCTTCACAGTTGCAAGGCAACTAGTGGACTGTCTCTCCACTTAAACTGCTCCACAATCTTCTGTCATCTATTTCCCATTGGACAGCCTATCTCAGGACATTCTGCCCTGCAATAACAGCATTGCATAACTTGATACTGGGTTATGTCCTTGTTCCTTAAATAACAAGTTCCATCGCTTTTATTTTTTTTTTATTTTTATTTTTTTTGGTAATAGTTTTTGAATCCTCCTTAGTTCTCAGCCAAAACAGATGCTCAGTAAAATGCTGATTAAGCCCACGTCTCTTTGAAAACAATATGACCACTTGAGTTTGCAAAGTGATGAGATGTCTACTGAAACACAGACACACACATACACACACACATGCATTTCTCATGTATCTATAAAGCCTGGATTTTCTTTTCTTTTTCTTACCTTGGAGACAGAATAAAAAGATCAGGTATGGCTGGATGTTATGGGGCATGCATCTATAGTCCCAGCTACTCAGGAGGCTAAGACAGGAAGATCACTTGTGCTCAGGAGCTCAGGACTAGCCTGAGCAACATAGTAAAGACTCCATTTCAAAAAGGAAAAGAAAAAAGTTCAAGCATTTATAGTTCTGCAAACCTCCTCTTAAATGTTTTGTGACTATAATATCTGAAAGTTAGATTGATTACAATCACACTGGGGAAATATTAATTCAGAAGCTGCCTGGATTTGTGCATAAATTGTGCCCTGGCCTGCAACAGTAATTATCACAAAATAAGAAAGTCAAACATCAACTCAAAAAGAGGCAACATCAAATTCAGCAGGCTTCATTAGTGGCATGAAATGTCCTATTTGATTTAAATCAAGTGTTTGAACTTCCAGCCCGTTTGGGTGGCCGTTCAAGCAATCCAGTGAATTACAAATGGCCAGACCTCTGACCAAGAACCTAATAGAGATTTGAGCAGTGGGGCTCTTCAGAGAAAGCTACCCACTCAATCCCTGAAGACCACCAAACAAGAATGGGGAAAATCAGATGCCATCTCCCCTACTTGCTTTTCTTTTCGAGAACTTTTATAGGGGAACTCCCAACCAAATTCCACCTAGGCTTCCTAGACTTTTGCATTCTGGGGACAAAGACTTCTCTACTACCTAGTCCAAGCTGAGGAAGACCTTGAGCCCCAGGCCCTGAGAAATCTTGCAAATGCTCTCGGTCTAGGGACAGGCTCTAGCTTGCAGCCATCGTGAGCAGGGAAGGCACATAGTGAGGTAACGCATCAAAAGCTCGAACTGGCTTGAGCAGGGTCTGCCCTGGCTGAAAGCCCAAAGAGATGAAGACGAAAGGCCAGGAACAAACAGCCCTTGCCAGCACTAATGTATCAGCATCTGTGTTTGTTTAAAATATGTAGAGTTAGAGAGAGAGGGATTTTGTTTTCTTGCAAAGCATTCAGAGCCAATTTCAGCACCCAGATCTTCACAGGAAAACCTTGTGGGGTTCTATGAGGTGTGAGTGGGTGTTAAGGGCAGAATTTCCTGCCTGAACTGGGAATTCCAATGATAACTGACATTGGATTATTATTTTAAAGGAAAAGAAAAACTGCTATACACTTGAGATGGCACAAAATATCACACTGCCAAAGCTGTAAACCAAGTGCAGAAGTGATCTCCAGTCGTTCTGGAAGTGAGATCTCCAGAGTAGCAGCGCCTCCTGTGAGTTTGTTAAACATGCACATACTTCAGCCTCACTCAGACCTCAAGGTTCAGCAGCCCAGCAGCAAGGCTGAACACACTGGGTTTAACTGATTTAATCTTGTGGGGTATTCCAATACAGAGTCAAGTCTGAGAAATCACTGAGCTCCTTTAAAATTTCCTAGAAAAAATGATTGACTCCTATCCTCAAACACAAGGACTCATTTATTTTATCCCGAATAGTGGCACCTCCCATGTGTAATCTACCCTTCTGGCTGCAGTCAGAGCTAAGGAGGCCCCTCAAGCTGCCTGTTAAGAGTTCTCTGTGTGAATGTGCACTTTTAACCCTTTGCAAAGTCTGTCTATACTCTGCCTACAGCACAGCAGGAAAAATCCAAATGAATTGGATGGTTTATCTGGTCAGGCATTACCTCCTGGCCAGGGTCACTCAGTGGCAGCATTGGAGACATTTTGGATCAGATTTTCCCACCCCCATGGGAGCTATCCTTTGCATTATAGGATATTTAGCAACATACTTGGCCTTGCCTCTCTAGAGAAAGGCAACACCCCGCACCCTAGTTGTGACACACAAAATTATACACAAGACAACTCAGTGTCTGTACAGGACAAGATCATCCCTTTTGAGAACTGCTGGGTTAAACCAGCAGCACAATCGTTAACTGCATCAGACAGTTAATCTAGGCTCTATAAATGTCTCAGTAAACTATGTTGGATATCAATGTCTCTACAAACTTTTCCCTCACTCCAACTCCCCCACCCTAGAAGAAAACCACTGAGGACATGACCCAGGTTCCAGGTCCCCCTGTCTCCCCCTATAAGTTCCCCAGCCTGTAGAACTTGGATTATGTCTCTGAACCCAAAGGCTGGCCCTCAAGGAACTGTCCCTCTGGCACTGTCCTGATCCTTTGGTTTTTGCATTGCTGGTTTCCCAGTCTTTGTGCAGACACAAAGCAAAAGCAATAGCATGGTGGCAGAGACAATGCTGTGGGACCGTCATATCTCCCAGCTCCCCAGTACCGTTTGGCAGAGATGCAGTTGCATCAAAGAGATTTATCGATTAGGGAATGACCTGAGTGCAACATGGATTTTGCTTTTGCTTATGTGTGATTTCATGCACAAGAAATTAGGAGAGCACAGAAAATTGCACCCAGCTGAACCCAGATGCACAAAACGCATGTGCACGCAACACTGGAACATCTTGTGCTGCCTCAGGTCACACGCGCCTTAGTGCACCAGCCTGCTATGTGGACTTCCCTTCCAGTTTCAAATCATTCTTCTTCACACAGGAATTCCACAGCCAACTTCTGGTCTTCTCAAGGTCAAATGACACATTAATTGTTGCATTCCTGTGTCTCTTAACCATTTAATATGTGTAACATGGGTAAAACTACCATTTTGTTTAGGTTTCCATCCCTTTCAACATATCACTGATGAGGTTTTTGAGTACTATGTGCCTAACCCCATTTTCCCATAAGGCCTGGTTTTCATTGATTATTTTTACATATCACTGATTTTTGAGGAGCATACACGTCATGTCATAGCTGAACTGGCTGCACTTGTTCCCCTAATCAGAGTGTCATATGGTAATAGAAAACCAACATTAAGCCCTTCTCCGGTGGCTCCTCCCTTTTGGACTCAACCTTCAGGTTGAGTCAGGCAGCTGTTTCCACCTTCCCAGGCTATATTAAGCTCCAAAGCTCCGTGGACATTTTCTTCTCAACACATTTAGCACATCTGTCAAGGGCTGGTCCAACCCAGTGCACTTTTAATGGTGGAGCCTTGTCTTAATCAGCACCTTTTTCTCCCAGGTCTGGCCACAGTACATATTCAGTCTACACTTGTCTGGCTACTCACCCACTCCGAGTCACCAGGCACTGGCGGAGCCCCAGTTTCCGGAAGATGTCCACCACTGTCTCCATGGGAGTGTGGTCCGTGACTGTGAAAGGGCTAAGGTTCAGGATGCGCCTCAGCTTCAAGGGGTGTGGGCTGTTGGCTGGCAATTCAGGAGGTTCCTCAGTAAAGTACATGATGGAATTGCTCACGATGCCCTCCTGCCTCTGTCTGGCATTCTCTAGAATGGGGTTGAGCAGAAACAATAAACCTCACAAAACTCCCTTGCTTAGCCCCCACCCACCCCCCACAGCACTACAAGCCTACAGAAAAAGGTTCAGAGTACAAACGACACATTCTTAATGAGAGGCTTCAGCCAAACATCTGTGAAATTGGCATCTCTCTTAAGCTTATGCTGTGCAAGGGGCCCCCTGCTATGACCAGATCTTTCATTGCCAACATCTTGCAAGAGGAGCCTGGCCAACATGGCTCCTTTGGGGGCATTCACTGCTGCCCCCTGGACTCAACAGCACCCGAAACAGCCCACGGTGCTCCACTCTGGCTTTCCAAATACTCCTTCACCTCATCAGGAGCTGAAGTTTGTCATGACAAGAAACAAGAAACATGTCAGACATTCCAGTGCCCAGTGACCTTCATATATTATTTTTTCAAAAAAGAATTTTTAAAATGGCCCAAATGGCATTATGAATCCTAAGAGGAACAAGAGCCAATAAGACCAACCCAGGCTCACAGCCCAGAAATGCAGCTCAATCCCAAATATGACCCTTGGGAATAAAGAAACAACCCAAAAAAAGCTGCATTCCCCCCACTCCTTGGATCTCCTCTCTTAAAAATGGACCATTTTGTAGATTTCACAAAGAAAGATAGTAAAACTGTTATGGTAGCAATTAGTCTATTTCAGTCTGTAGGCAAGGCCATGTGAAGCTAAAGAAAAGTAGGGTAACAGGAACTCATTAGAAATACAGCTTAATGCAGTGCTAGAAACCCAGGCTATTTTAAGTCACACATGAAATAAATCCATTGGTCTCAAGATATTTCTCCAAGGCGATTTTCCTTCTGTTGGAATTTTAATCTTTCTTTTGGTTCGTGGGAAAAGGTTAGGAAAAACGTACAGCAGAGCCTGTCTTAAAATGAATCCTGGTTTCTATAATACATTTCTTGCTTTCTCAAAGACTACTATTCACCTATATTGTTCTTTCAAAAATAAAATTCTAACAGCCTCCTCTAAGGCCATTTAGTGCAACAGAGTACTCTAATGGAAAACTGGCAGCATTTGAGGTCAGGCTGAATCTGAAAAGGGGTCTCTGTTGAAAAGAGGAACAGAGGGCCTGCTGGGCAAATGCCTGCACATTATATGGGTCAGGTTAAATCTAGTTACATCAAATAGGATATGATTCAACCACAAATACCAGGCGATGCTGATGTACAACATGCTTCCAAATGCAGGTCCTGCATGCTACATGCTGCGCGCTCCTCTCCTAAACAAAGATGGTTCTTTCTTTAAGCACTAAGACAAGGGGGCAATAGTCAACATGTACTTACTTGCTCATTTCCATAGACCAATCAATTCTCATAAAGTCCCCATAACAAGATTGACATCTATTTCAACAATCAGGATTGGATCAAGCCACAAGCCCTCAATCAAGAACTGATCATGTGGATTTGCTGAAGCCCTTATAAAATCAAACATAATTTAGTGAACCATCAACACAGTCGGTAAAATAAACAACAAGCTTGTATTTCTTCTGAATCTACTCATTGGGTTAGAAGCCTTGATTCTCACAGTCACTCATTCTATGATCTCTTGCTCACCAGTGCACTTCCAGTGCACAGACAATCCAAAGAAAACAGCAGATACAACACATGCATTTGCCACATGTACACGTGTGCATAAACAAATGTGTTTACTAAATATCAGTACATCTTCTTCTGCCTGACCTGCCTGAACAGAATAAAGTCTATTTCACAAAGAAGACATTAGGAAGGAAATCCCATGAGCTATTATTCATTGCCATGTAAGAGTCATAGGCATTGGCTGGGGTCAGAGCTGGGGATGTGAGCTGTCCTCTTTGCTATACCATATGGCAATTGCTGCTCTTTAGTAGGGTTCTACTCAGTTGCTTTGGAACTGTATTGTAAAAACTTATTTCAAGGCTTTAGACTGGATGTGCTATGTACAGGCCAAAAGCTGGTAAATGAAAGAAACACCAGGAAAAGAGCACTTTGTCACTCTGCACTGGAGTAAACCAACTACTTCCAGTTGGACCAGAACATCCAACTCGACCAAAATGTCTGCAACAAAAACCTAACATGTAAGTTCACAAAGGACAGAGACTGTGCACTGCCATTCCTGGACTCCAGCTCTGAGGAGAGTACCAGTATATGCTGAGCACTCAGGAAATATTTCCTATACAGAAGGATAAACCAAATCCTCAACCAAAGGATGAGCTGGTGCTATCAGAGTCTAGATCAGTAATAACAAACTTTTTAGAATTTAGATACAAATAATGCTCGCTGGCACACATGCCATAGACTCATAGACCCCAAGAAATCTTGGGAATCTGGGTTGGAAAAGAAACCAAAAAAAAAAAAATCCCAAAATGCACATTTTTAAGGAGACATAAAAAGAGGAAGTGCACTAAATACTAGTGCCTTTTTAAAATGTTTTTATTTCCTTCTGATTTTTTCCAATATTCGATGACTGTGTATTACTTTTACTTTAGAAAATGTAATACACATCATTTTAACTGTTTTAAGTTCAAGTAGTTAAATCTTTTTTTAAAATGTTTTTAATGTAGGAGGCTTATTACACATTCTACCAACACTAACGCCAGTGGTCACAGCTCCTGAAAAATGATGCATATTTTATGAGCACATGCTAAGGTTATTCAACTTGACATTCCGCTTTCTAGGAGTAATGGTGCCAGATGCAAAAAGAGTAAATAATAAAGTGTTGGTGAGATGAATTTCACAAACTATAATAGATTAAGAAACTTTTAAAGATGAAAATAATTACACATTTAATAAATAATTGAATGACTTCAGAGTAATGGTTCTCAATTGGGAGTAATTTTGACCCCACCTTCAGGAGAAATTTGGCAATGTCTAGTAACATTTGGGGTTCTCACAAATAGAAAGGGAAGATGTTACTGGCATCTAAGGGGTTAAGACCAATGACCCTAGCCAACATCCTACAATGCACAAAAGAGATCCTCCCACAAAGAACGATCCAGCTCCAAATGTCAGTAGTGTTAAGGTTCAAAAACTGTACAGTAATTGTGTTTTTTAAGGAGGCAGTATTCCATCATTGTGTTCATTAAAATATATCTGTAAGGGAGATGCAATTAATGAGAAAGTCTAAAACGGAAAATTGGAAGCAACCAGCATAGTGGTCAGTACAAACATGATATGTAAAAAGGACTACAATGAAGAGAAATCAGATTATTTTACAAGTCATTGCCTGCTAAGGCATGGAGAAGTCCTTGTACATATATATCTCTCTATATTTTAACTTCCTCAGCAGAAAATAGTTGATACCACTATTCTCTATGACCTTCCCCCAAAATTAACAGCCTGCCCAAGCAGAAACCTCGTTATCGCTAAATAGTTTATCTCCCAGACCTGACATTTATTTTCTGGTTCAGTCCTGGATGTAGATCCCTTTGTGCAAGCAAGTATCTTCCACTGCTAGAGAATCATTATTAAGTCCTCCATCAGACAAAAAAAAAATTTTTTTTTAGTTTCCTTAACTCTTCAGCATAACTCTAACTTCTCATCTCTTTAATCATTTCTGAGGCTTCCTACCAAGTCCTCTCTGAACCTTTCCTACCTTAATTGCAGAATTCAAGACTAGGAGAGGCTGAGCCTTGCTGAGTACAGGAAGTGCCTCATATTCCCAAAGACAATGAGAGGTAAAGGCCCGTTACCAGGAATTTGAACAAGGGTCATCCACGGCCTCCCGTGTTCATAATCTAAAGATGATTCCCTTGCTCAGGTGCTGTTAGCTTGTTTTCTAACAAAAGCAATAGCTGTGCTTTGGCCTTCTACAGATGGATTGAAAATTACTAAATATTTTCAGCTCCATGTCAGCAGCTGCTACAATTTTAAACAAGACATGTTATTTTCCTCATTTACTGTTCTTTTCTTACCGTAATTACATCTATCCTATGATAATCTTTCCTCCCACACCCCCAAAAGTGAAAGTGATATGGAACACTTTTAGCAAAATGCTAATGTTACATTTCTACATTCATAAAAGGACATACGACTTCTCAAAAACAGGTCACGAATTTCTCCACAAGAATACAGCGGCTCTTCTCTTCACAGATTAGGAAAACAGCTTTTCTGATTCCTTGGAGAGAAACACCCCCTGCCTTTCCACAAACCATGTAAATAGCAGTTTCTACACTATTATCGGCCTGATTGAAAGCACAGAGGTATTATTTACACTGTGTGGTGCCTCTTCAGACATTCCAAACATAGCTTCAGAGAGAGTGCTCGCTTGCAAAGCCTGAATTTCTTTTCTAACCAGTTGATGCCAATTACTGCTTCCCACTTGATTACAGTAATGGATTTCAGCAAAATTAGTAAGCTGTTTCTTAGCAGGTGTGCCTACAGCTACACAATAGGTAATGAATTCTGTGACATTTATTTCTTGAGTTTCTAAATTTCAACCTCTGCTTAGAAAATTTTAGGGTTTGAATAAAATTTTAAAGGCTGCTGATTACATTATTTAAAACAAACCCAACCCTCTTAAATAACCTTTTCAAAACCTCACTATTTGTATGGCAATATTTCTCTGAGACAGGACCTACAATAAAGACAAGCATCACTGGGCACTCAAGCACAAACTGGCTATGGTGTCCAAAATGTAAAATCGATCTTTGCTTTGAGGGACCTAAACACACTGAGCAACAAACTAAAATTAGAGGGTATAACTTATCTAAACTAATGTTTATAAAATTTTTGAGCCAGATTCTTTAAAGAAATTTTTAAAGCTGTTTATCATAGAGAAGAGGTATTACAAGTTGAAGAGAAGCACCATGGAAACAGAAACAAAGGCAGCGGGGAGGAAACAGTTCTCTGGTGAACAGTGGGGCACTCAGTAGCCATACTCAGGAAAGAAATTCCCACTGACACACATTAGGAACATTGTGGAAGACAGAATGGACAGTAACACTGTCACATGTACATGTGAGCCATGCCACGAGCCCAAGTCGCCCATGGGATGCAGGGATACTATGCAGATTACAGAGCAATTGTACTCAGCCAGTGGGCATGGCATCTACCATGTGTGTGGAGATGGGCTATGCTGGTCTTCTATGAACCCTGAAATCCCCAGGACTCCAACCCACTGAGGTTCTCTGCTCCTATTTCTGAGCATGTGGTCTCTAAGGTTCTCCTCATGAGACTCGCCCAGGCCTCTCTCCCTCTGTCTTTGGAATCCTCCTACCTCCTAGTTCCCTTCTGAAGGAGCCAGCATACCAACTTTCTCTGGGCTATCTGTCTTCAGGGAACCTCACCTGGGAATCATCCCTCTCTCCTACCCCAACTCAACAGCCTGCCCTCCTCCTTTGGCTGATTTCAGTTCAAATGTAAAGAGAAAATAACCACACAGAACTGATGTCTATCAATGCTGTTCATTAACCCATGTGGGCCTCTATCTGGTGTAATGGGACATAATTCATTCAACGCAGCAGAAGCCTGTGCTTTAGCTAGCAAAGTATCAGGAAGAGACCTTATCATCTAAGTGAGGTGGTTAACCTGTCAGACGGCAGAACTCTGAGATCAGCTCAGCACAGGCCACTCTGGGATCTCATACCATCCCTGCTCCTTCTTAGCTTCAACCAATAATCCCCTAAAACAGCAGCAGCAGCTACAGTAGCTTGCCCCTGATCTGCACACACAACACTCTCTGGCCAGGAACACCTACCCCAGGACTTGAGTTGAAATCTTGGGAAATGTTTGCATTGGCATGGATGGGAAGCCTAGGGGGAATTCAGGAACTTGACTCAGTCAAATATGCATTTTAACAGATCTGCACTGCAGCTTGAGAGCACTTGCCTTACTAAACATTCTTTCGAACACCTTTGATAATTCTAGGGGTACAAAGGCTGCTTGGAAAAACGTGAACCTCTCTTTCCTTACTTATTGCAAGGATCAGCTCCCTCCTCTGAGCAAACCCAATGAGACGCTCAGAGTCTCTGGAGACCACCACAGGGAAGCCGTTGTAGTCTGTCTCCTTGATGAGCGTCTCCACATCCTCCACGGTCATGCTGTCCTGGGTGAGCACAGACAGTGGAGGCTCTCCCCGCCTGGGCCGCATCACATCAGTGGCCAGGGTGCGGTGGGTGAACTCATCCTTCACATCCAGAAATGGGTACCCGTTCAGGTGGATGTGGGCCTCGTAGATGCCCTCTTTCCCAAAGGCATCGGCCACCCACTTGCTGGTCACAGCTGCTGCCATCAAGGGCACAATGTACTCCAGACCACCCGTTAATTCAAACATGATGACCACCAGAGATACCGTCATCCTGGTCACTCCACCTGCAACAGAAAAGTGAGACTCTAAAACTTAACCCTGAACCCTCAGGAGGGTGTGATTTGTGGAAACTGAGAGGCTCACGGGCTGTAAAAGCAACTCAATCCAAGTTCTTTAAATCCTACCCATATTTGCTCCAATAAGAGGTTCCCAGGAGATGCTGTCCATGTTGGAACCCTGGAGCTCAGACCAGGATCTCTTAAACTCAGTCTTGCATCAGGGAGCTGTAAGTCACCTGACTGGAGGCTCTTGGCCAATAAGGGACCCTGGGTTATAGATTAACTCAGGCCACTTCCTGGCTTTTCTGTGAGTGGATCCTACATACCCTATACAGGCTTCTGCCTGATAAAGGAACCCATAAATTGGAAAATTGTAGAGATTTGAGGGATTAGATTGGAGATGGACACAACTTTGAATTCCATAGTATTCAAAAAGAGAATCCAAACTGATTCTTAATTGTCTGATAAACCTAAACCAGGGTTTCTTAGCTTCAGTACTAGAGACATTTGAGATTGGATCATTTTGTTGTCAGGACTCTCCTGCATACTACAGCAAGTTTAGCAGCATCCCTGCAGCCCTACCCACTACATACAAGTGGAATGAACAAAAGACTTTCCAGGTGTCTCAAAGGATGCAAAATCATTCCTGATTGAGAACCAGTGTTCCAGGTATACCGCTATGAAATGGTGGAGATTCCATCAGACTGGGCTTCTGAATGACCAGGTGGAAAAGATTCCTGCTAACCCATGCTCTATTCTATTCTATTCTATTCTATTCTATTCTATTCTATTCTATTCTATATAGTAAAAAGGATATAAGTTTGGTACATGTTAAGCCACTGACATGGTGGAGTTTACTTTTTATCACAGCACAACCTAGCTTATGCTGAATAATGCCAATGAGGAAACCCACTCCTCCTCCATCCCCCCACCTGTGGACATACCTAGGCAAGCTGCAGCTCCCACCATTGCATAAAGTCCTGGGGTGACGCAGTCTGCCCCAGGTCTGCACCAGTTCCTGAAGATGATCCAGTCATGGTGATGGTAAGCCAGCTGCTCCACACCAATCCCCACCATCCTGCCCGCCATGGCCCCCACAGCCATGCTGGGGATGAAGAGCCCTGAAGGGATCTCAAGGGAACACAAAGAGAAAAGTAGCCTGAGGGAAGGAGGCCAAGTTCCAATCTCCCAACCCTCAGGAAACACGGTCCCTTTCCACAAGCTTATATTTGACTGAAGCCTTCAAAAGAGGTGCAGCTCTACAAAACAGGTCAGCTGGGAAAAGGTGGGACAAGCGATTTGACCTGCTTAGTCAGTAGAGTCTACTGCTACTTGGGCAGAATGCAACTTGACACTTTGATTTCCTCTCCTTCAAAAGCTAGCCAGTGTGCCCACTGTGGATTAAAGAATGATAAGCCTCACTGCCAATAACATTCAAAGTGCACATCTGTCACCAGAGACTCTCAGCACTTTTTTGCTCCCCTTGCTGTGTCATTCAGATTGGCTTTGAAAATTAAATGTCAAGCCACAGCATGAAAGTGGAAAAGAAGGCCCTGATACTTCTCCCAGGTAAAAAGGGAGAAAAAAAATGCTGAATGCATCATTGTGGCTGCCCTGGATCTTCCAGAGGGCCTTTCAAGGGCTCATGGTCCTCTTGAAAGGATGAAGCCTGTCAGAAAAGAGCTGAAGAAAGGTTCCCTCTTCCTAACAAAGTACATATTCTGATATATCCATCCAGATTACACACTACATAACCTAAGAGATGTGGCTTACCAGTGTGTTTTCTATTGAGTGAGAATACTGTACATTTGGTTTCTCTGATGGCCATACAGAACATGCCCAGCTCCCTTGTGGTGATTCCACTTGACCATGGGTCCTGAGCTGCAGCTGCCTTTCTGTCTGGCCTGCGGTCATCAACCTGAGCATCTAAGCAGATCTTTAATACAACGACAGTTTCAATTCCCAAGTTTCAATTCCCACATGCAATTTCTAGATCTTGGAACACTCCTCAGCACTGTTGTTTTCTGAGTAACCCCTTATTCCACAGTCACCGAATCTCCTGTTACTTCCAAGTAGACCCTTCTCAAAAAAGTAATAAAACAATGCTACTATCATAGCATCTTCCTTGGACACTAAATTAAATCCTTTCGCTAGGAGCTGATGGATCCAAGCCAGTCAGCTGTTGGACCAAGTCCACCCATCCTTGTTCTGAAGACACAAATCACAGTTTGTGATTATGCACTCAAGACTGTCATCTCTTAGACTTTTTAAACAGACAGAATTCAGATGAAGTTGATGGTGCATTCTGGGAGGCTGAAGCAGGAGGATCACAATTTCAAACCCAATGTGGATATCTTAGCAAAACTATGTCTCAAAATTAAAAAGAAAAAAGGGCTGGGAATATAGCTTAGTGTCAAAGTCCTCCAGAGGGGAGAGACACACATAAAAAGAGACAGAGATAGATAGATAGATAGATAGATAGATAGATAGATAGATAGATAGATACAGAGACAGAGAGAGACAGAGACAGAGATAGAGAGAAGAAACACAGAAATATCACAGAGAAAAGAACACTTATGGAACAAAAAAGGGGACTCTGCGGACTGGATGATAATCTGAGTGTTGGTTATACAAACACATGTTGTTTTGTGAAAATTCACTTGTGCATATCTTTGTATAAATAATATATTTTTATAAAACTTTTCCAGAAACTATAAGCAATTATTTGGAGATGACAATACATGATATATGTAACACTGTTGCCCCCTAAATGACATGTTTGGAAATTTTGTTTTAGTTTTTTTCTTCTCCTTAAAATAAAATGGATTAGGAAAAAATGAAAACTAAAAAAAAAAAAATTAAAAAAAAATAAGGATGGGAGTAATGACAATGAAACTATAAGCAATATAGAAACAACCCAAATGTCTATCAAAGGATGAGTGGGTAAAAAATGTGAAATAGTCATAGAATAAAATACCATCCAGCCAAGAAAAAGAATGATATACTGCTACCACATGAACCTTGAAAACACCATGTTCTGTGAAAGAAGCCCAAGACAAAAAGCAAACATTCCATCTCATTTATATAGAATGTCCACAACAGGTGAATCCAACAGACACACACAGCAGGTAAGTGGCTGCCAGCAGCTGGAAAGAAGGGAGAAAGGGGAGCAACACTAATGCAGATGGGGTCTCCTCCAGGGAGAATGAAGATGTTCTGAGAGCAGACAGAGGTGTCGCTGTACCATATCATGAGTGTACTTAATGCCAATGAAGTGTACGGCTTCAAGCCATTAATTTTATGTTGTGTCAATTTTACCTCAATTTAAAAAAAATACCAAAAACACTAATAATTCAGTGTCAGGGCCCATAAAAGAAAGCTCTTTGGGAAGGCTTTTGAAGTATATCTGAACTGATTCAGCAGAGCATTTTAAAAAAGAATGAAAGTTCTGTGCTTTTTTACCCTTTAAAATTAAAAACAAACCCAAAGGAAATAAACTTTGAAAGCCAATACAGAAAGATGGCACATGACACAGAGGAGGAAAATGACTTTTATGACCCTGGATTTCTTATGAGCAACTTGCAGACTAAAGGATGCTAGCATAAAAATCTTCAAAGAAAGAGAACTGTTAATCCAGAATTTTATATCAAGTAAAAATAATGAAAATGCAGGAGAAGTAAGACACTTGCAGATAAAGAAAAGCAAAAAGAATTCATCACTCACAAACCTCATTCTCAAGAAATAGGAAAGGAAGCTCTATAGAGGAAATTATAGCATAAGATAAATTTTAAGTATGGACAGTAACAGATATGGCAGACACTGGCCTATAATGTAAGAGATTATTTTTCTTAAATTCTTTAAACCATGTTGACTGTTGAAAGCAAATATTGTAAGTTATTCGGTAGGATTTTCATTGTATCCGAACATAATATATACAACCACTATACTGGAAACGGGAGAGTTAAACTATTATATGAAGTGCATCTTCATTTTACCTGATGTGGTGAAATATTCATTCTAAGGAGGCCATGAAAGGTTAATCATGCATATTATAATCCCTAGAAACACTACAGAAAGTGACCTTCTTTATTCCTAGAAATACTCATTGACCTACAATCTACTCGGGTGCTATGGCCATTTCAGTTATCTGACTGCATTAATGTTTATCTGTATACATTTCCCCATCCTTTTACTTTGTGCATTTATATTTGAAGTATAGCTGGGGATTTAGCTCAGTGGCATAAGTGCCTGCATTGCAAGCATGTGGTCATGAGTTGGATCCCCGATTGAACTAAGTACCAATAAAAAAAAGACCCTGTATATTTGAAGTATATTTCTTATAGATAGTTAAAAAAGCTATCTTCTCTGATTTCAGTATGATAATGGAAGCATGTGATATCACACACACTTTGAGAGGACCCTGGCCACCCAGACATGGCTTGCAGGGCTTAGGGTGGGCCTTAGTTGTAGAATGCTTGCCTAGCATGCACAGGCCCTGGGTTCTATTCCCAGCAGAGATGGGGCGGAGGATGAGGAGAAAGTAAGTGTGAGGGTCTCCACGAAATCCCCCTGCCATGGCTCCAGTCTTATCCAAGCCAAGGACATGCTCACTTTTTGGTCTCATGGCACTGGCATGGAACACAAGTTGAGCACTCAGTCTGGAGATCAGTCTCCAAACATCACATTTACCTACATGTCTCCCAGACCTGTGGGTCCTTCAGAGGTATCAGTTTATATTAAGCTTGAGTCCCTCGAGCTTAGTCCCAGGATGCAGTGGGTGCAGAAAGTACATTTACTGATCCAAACAGGGCCAACTCTGGGCTTCTTCCACCACCTGCACTCACCCAGCCAGCAGGTAAATCTGTGCCTACCACCTGGTCTGGGAAGGCTTGAACTGGGTTTGTTACCTAGCTCTGTTTCCCATAAACTGTAGGTCTAAGCAATCCACCTACAGCCTCTGAGCCTTAGTTTCCTTGATTGTAAAATAGGATCAAAGTCTCTACTCCATAGGCTTGTGTTTATTAAGTGATTTGTTTTCTGTTGATTAAAAGAATGTCAGGGAAATAGATCATTCAATAAGGTCAGTTCCCCTCCCCCTTACATCATAATTTTATTTTAGAACATAGGGTGCTGTCCCCAGAAAGACATGCCCCCCATCTCCCTTCCCCTTCACTTACCTTCATGCCAAAGGTAAATATGGTAATGACGATTTTGAAGATCAGGGCCAGGGCCAGTTGCCACATGGCTGTGTAAACCCCGACCCCCGCAGGCCGGTCTGGAATGTCATCCACAGGCCGGGTCATATTGGGGTCGTTGATGTAGTCACAGAGCTGGGAAGACTCAAGGGCCCCACAGTCATTGAACAGCTCAGAAATGAGCTCACTGGTGCTCTGGCGTGTGTAGGGGTTGGGATAGGCGATAATGGCAGTGATGGCTGTCACCACAATGACCTCCAACACCGGGTACTTCCCCAGCCTGGTGGTTTTGCGCCTCCTGCACCAGGCGATGTTGCATCGAGTGAAGAGGGTTCCCCACAAACCCCCAAAGACCCCAAGCAGGATGAAGGGGAAGAGTTCAGCCATATACCAGGGTGTGTGATATTCCACGTAAAAGAGAACCAGGCGGCTATTCCCAAAGGGGTTGATGGATCGCAGTGTGAAGGCTGCCACCAAGGCTGCAAAAAATGACCTCCACAACGTCTTCAAGGGAAAGTAGTAACTGACCTGGGACAAAGAATTAGAAAATCAGAAGCTGGCCAGAGAAACAGCAGCTCCGAGCCTTCCTCCCTCCCTTGGGTGAGCAGTCACCTATGGTACTTGGCATGCAAGACACAAGCTAAGACCAAAGGAGGATCACACTCACTTCATCTAGTTTTAAGTGTGTTCAAAATGCTCCAACAATGACATTTAAAGAAATCTAACTAAGCCAAAAAGTGCCATTGATTCCAATGAAGGTGGGTTTGTGCTACACTTTTAAGATCAATAAAAGGCTGGAGTGTAACTCAGTGATAGAGCATGTGTTTAACGTGTTCATGGCCATGGGTTCCATCCTCAGTACTCTCAAAAGAGAGAGAAAGACAGAGAGAGAGTTAAATAAAATATATATGTGTAAATACTGTTTGTGGCACAAGGACATCCTAAAAGCAAACAAACTCTGGATTTGATTCTGTAGCAAACACATGGAAAACTCTGGCCCACAAGTCAACTCCGGCCCGGGGAATATACCATTTGTATGGCATATTAATTAAGAATGTTTTTTTGCGATTTTAAATAGTTGGAAAAGAAACAACTTGTGACATGAAATAGTCATTCAAAAGAAGAACAATTTTCATTGCATGTGAGATTGTATAAAATCCAAAGTTTGATGTCCATAAGGAATGTTTACAGGGCATAGAGCCATGCTCATTCACGGACACATCATGTGGTTACTTTTCTCTTTACAATAGCACAGTTGATTGACTGTAGGAGAAATCGTGTGACCCACACAGTCCTTTTCAGAAAACATTTGCTAACCTCCTTTCTGGTTCCAAATCCAAGGTGGAACCTATCTTGGTTATGAGGAAGAGAGAATATTATAAATCTTCCCACAAAATTATATTGGCCCTTTTTAAAACAGCATTTGAAAATATATTTAACAGTGCAAAATGCAGAATCTTAATTAAGTGTAGAAAGCTTTTTCAATACTTCTATGAATCTAAACTTCAGAGGGTAGGAAATAAAGGCTCATCCACATGGGCCTACCAACCATCCACATATGCCTTCCTGACCGTTCTCACCTCCTCCAGACTGAACAGCACACCCCCGATGGGAGCACCAAATGCCACGGACACCCCAGCAGCAGCTGCAGCTGAAAGTACCTACAAGGCAAAGGGTTCTAAGTAGGCTCATGGGCCTTCCCTGAAGGCAGACTGATGCAGGATACAGAGGCAGGGCTCTGACGAGAAGCCTGCCCTGCAGGTAGAAGCTCAGTCAGCTCACCTCACGCCTCTTGCCTTCATTCTTGCTATACTTGGAGAAAAGGCTGCTGAAGAAGTTGCCACAGCAACAAGCCACATGCACCAGAGGACCTTCTTTCCCAAGGCTCAGGCCAGAGGACACAACCAGAACCAGGGTGACCGTCTTGATTAGCAGGGTCCACTTTCCCAAGTAGCCCCTGATGATAAAGCCACTCAAAATGGTCTTTATCTGAAAGAAGACAGTGAGAGGAATGAACTGCTTCAATTCATGCTTGGAAAAAGAGATATAGTGCCTCTGGGCTAGAGTCTCTAAAACAAAAAGAAAGGTGACTATTTCAGCTTTTGATTTGTCTGTAATTTTATAGGATATTAACAGATATATTCCAAGACTGCAGCTGAAAACTCAGTACTAAACCTAATATATATTTTATTCTTTCCTATGCATACGTACCTATGATAAAGTTTAATTTTCAAAGTAGGCAGCGTAAGAAGTCAACAACGTTAGCTAGTGGTAAAGGAAAACAATTATAACAATTGAAACACATTTTCCACTCATGTCTTCCACCCACAAATTCAATGATTTTTTCCATTGCAACTAAACAGTCATCACACCGTAGCCACAACATCGGCAGTTTGAGATGGGGCAGCAAAACGAACATGAAATGTGTTTTCCTTTCTCACAATTTCACAAAGAGAAGATTCATTCTTACCACAGATCTTAGCAAACTCAGCACACCGTTTTCTCTGTAACTAACAACTTTCACCTCTTCACTTACAAGAGCCACTTGACAGCTTCTTGTTGGCATAGTCCAACTGCTGGCATCACTACTCTGGTGCCTTGGGAAGCCATTACTGATTAAAGTAACCATGACCTGAATACAAGCAGTGCAGTACTGTGAGAGAGTCTGTTTGATAACTGAGATAGCCATTAAAGAGTTAAGTGAGTGGGTAGCATACACTCTGTGGATATGCTGAATAAAGGGATGATTCGTGACCCCGGCAGAACAGAGTAGGATGACAAAAGATTTGATCACACTGCCAAAAGAACAGTGTGCAATTTTTATTGTCCAAATCTCTCCTATCTTTGTTTCTTTTTTAATTTTAATATTCTTAGTATAATCTTAGAAAACAAAGCTATTCAGTATTGTAGTAAAACACCTCTAGGAGATGTAAAAAACGCTTGAAAGAATGAGGACCCCTTCTTTTCCACTGAGGGAGAACTGTCTTGCTCCATTTTTAAACTTGCTTTATATTGTAAGTGTCAAGTAATGACTTTCTTCCTACAGCTGCACTTGAGTCTTTGAATGTATTTAGAACTGAACTGGGTATCAGTTTCAGTGACTGACTATGTTTATTGAAGTCCACTATTCTAAATGGCATTCTTTTGGGTACAGAAGCATCATCAATGGCCAAATAACTTTTCTACCTCCAGCCTCTCCTCCAAACAGGCTAAAATGGAATGAATGTTTACTGCTGAACCAGCTACTTACAAGCTCCTAATCATAGATTAATTGGATAGTGCATCAGACAATGAAATTCCTAGTCCATTTCTGTTTTCCCATTGTGTAATACATAATAGGACAATGCTATCTCTTATCGGTGTCACTTATGTAACTTCAAAATGCTTCCTTGTGGGCCCTACTCTGCCAAGTAAGTACTTTTTCAAATAGCTATTACAATCCTTTTCAAACTTAGGGCTCATCAGAATTACTGGGCGAATTCGAAAAAATTGAGGGAAAACTGGTTCTCCACACACAGCTGTGTTGTAATTCTTCTGAGGTGCATCTAAGGTGCAGGAAGTTTGATGGCATCCCCAGGTGATTTTAAAACACTCCACTCCTGGAAAGACCAGTACAAACATTTCTGATTTCTCAATATTTAAGGGACAGCCCTGAAGCAAACTAATCAAGTTCTAAAAGGTCATGGACAGGACCATTTTCATGTCAGGAATTATTAATGTCGATCTGTTTCTTAATTCAAGGAAAAAGAATGGGGAGGTGAGAGAAAAGAAGAGGGAGAAAGCATACTAGCAAGTGTGTTTGTGTGTTTCCCCGTAAGTTCTTTGAGCTCCTTGAACATACATAAAGTCTCCTAGCTATAGGCAGAAAGGATTTCTTAAGCTAGTCTTTAACTCATGGCAGATGAACTAGCAGTGGTTAAACTAGTCTTTAACTAGTGGTAGTTGTCTTAATTGAGCTTGTGCTCTGGGGATCTCAGATCCTTTATTTAAGGGATGCTTTATTATGCTTGCCACAATCCTAGCCTTTTGTGTTGCCTTGAATAAAATTATCTGTAATTTTTTGTCAGTTAGTTAATATGGATTTGGACCCCAGGGTACAGTTGAAAAACGTAATACCATTTAGAAAATTACAAGCATCTAAATTATCTGAGCCTTTGCTAGTCATGACATGTGGTGAACTGAACAATGTAATAGGTATTTTGTAATTCTCTAAAATGATTTTATAAAATTGTCATGATCAAATTAGAAACTAAAGAAGGCAAATTCATTCTCAATAGATTCCAACATCCAATCACTTGCTCTCATTTGAATTCACAGTTTGCAGCAAGCAGAGCTTTAACAAGATACATCACAGCAAATCTGTGACTTGATGATGTTACTCTTAAATCCAGAATTCTTTTTGTTTGATAAATATTTGTACAAGGGCTCGTGTTTTGTAAGGAACAGAAATACCACCTGAGAAGCCATGATTCCTTATATAACTGAAAGCAGTTTCTGATGACGCAACAGTAGTTAAAAAAAAAAAAAAAAAAAAAAAAAAAAAGAACACCCTTACTGAGTTCTCTCTAAACTCCAAAGTCCAGGAAACCACGAGTTTCTTTGGAATATACTTTATACAAATTCCATGGCCATTTCTTACATAGCAAAAAAAATTATCTAAATTTACATTTTAAAAATGTTTCCAAGGGAATTTTCATTCTAAGTAATCAAAATGTTTTGGAAGGAAATGCCTTGGAGAATGAAGAACTTTAAAAATGTACCTTGCCCTGAGAGTGGAACTCAGTGGTAGAGGGTTCAGTGGCTGAGAATGGTACCGCTGCTATAATAATGGGGGAAACTTGGCTACTGGTGAGTCATAATAACTAAACTCAATTATAAGATCTCCATTGGTTCCTGATCTTAAAAAGATTGAAGTAAATACTTTTATAGAGAAAAGAATCTATTATGTATTTATATGGCTAAAAGAATGTTGATAAACACAAGCACCCATGTAGTCACTACCAAGTTCAAAAACTAGAAGAGCAAGATACCTTTGAAAGCCCTCTTTGCCTCCCTGGTGGAAGATTTTCCTTCCCTTTATCAGCTCCAATCATGTTTTGCCTTTCTTGATCATTTTAGCAAAATATGTTGTCAGTTTGATTCTTTGTGTATCTATATAAACATAATCATACTTTACATTTTCTTCTGTAGCCTACTTTCTCCACAGGACATCGTAATGTTTTATTTTCATCCATGCAATGTGTTCCTTGTGTTTTTGTCATATAAAAACTTAAATGTTCAACTCGGTATTTTATTTCCTTTGAGGACAGCTGTCACCAAGAAAGATATCCACTTTGGAGAAGATATGTCCAATCAGCCTCTCAAAGATAGAGCTTCTGGTTTAAGCTCTTTGTCTGGAAGATCACCAGTGGAGCCACACACTTCTGGTTCTTGGAAGGGAAAGGATTGCTCAGCATCTCTTTGGAGATCTGCAGAAAGGATTTTTTTTCTATCTTTTCTGCATCTGCATCTGCTTTACATTTTCTACCAATTTTCTACTGCCCATCTCCTTATTTTGCATAAGCTTGAGTCAAAATCACCTATTGATGGGAAACTGCATCATAAACTTGGATACCAATGGTGATCTCTCCTTTTTTATTGTCCAGAATGTACTGAGCTTTGGATATCAAATAAAATAGCTCTACTGTAACTTATGCTTTGAAAATACAAACTGGTCACTGTGCCAGTCATATATTAGAGAGAAATGTGAGATCATGCAAATTTTCTGTCTATTTATGCAGTTTCCTATAGAAGAAATAAAAGGTGAATGCAGAAAAACTGCACCAAGTAGAACCAGGTCATGTAGGAGAACACAAACTGTGCATTATGCACATGTCTCACATGCATGTGTTGGGAATCCCGGCCATCCACAGCTGATGATCTCCCTCCTCTTATCTCTTCACAGTAACTCTTGAGCTGTAACCCTTCTGAAATCCACTTCCACAAGCAAACAAACATTAAGTTTTTTTTTTCACTTCCACAAGCAACATTGTTTTTTTTTTTTTTTCAATTCCACAAGCAAATTCCTTTCTTGTACGTATCACTCAGGACATTTTGTTTGTGTTTGGTTTTACTTTTGGTTTTGGACACAGGATCTCACTGTGTAGCTCAAGCTGGCCTCAAACTCACAGCAATCCTCCTGTCTTGCCTTCCCAAGTACTGGAATTACAGGTGTGCACCCAGGATGCCGGGTTTCACCAAGGAAGTTTTTGAGCATTGTGTCCCCTGGTCCATTTGGCCCATGAGTCCTGTGGGTCTTATTGTGTCATTTTGCATAGCATGGTGTTATGGTTTGTGTCAGGCATCCCCCCCAAAGCCTCATACAGTCATGGAGGCTGCTAAGTCTAGCATTTGTGATTGGTTTATTGTCTAGAAATGGGATTGGTGTGAGTGCTGTGCCTGCCCAGGGGCAGGTGTCAGCATATAATATAGGGCCGAGAAGGAGGTGTGCTTTTCCCATTTTGCCCTTTTTTGCTCTTTCACTCTTGTCTCTTGTGGATGCCATGAATGGCTGACCCTTAGCCATACCACTCTGCTTTGGAGCCAGCTGAGTATGGACTGAAACCCCCAAAAAACTGTAAGCTGAATGAACTGTTCCTTCCCTAATTTTGGATGTTAGGCATTTGTCTCAGCAACAAGAGAAAAGTAAGTAAGACACATGATGATTTTTCAGAGTGCATATTTCTCATTATTGTATGACTGGCTCTACCTAGGAAGTAGGATGGTCATATAGCTTATTTTTTGGCTCCCTGAAGCAGTGAGTAAAAATAAACCATCAAAAATTCAGCATGAAATATTAAGACTTTTTTTCTATCTTTTCTGAAATAAGACCATGTTGAATATTTCTTATGACCATCTTCTAATTACCCCACCCCTTTCTGTGAATTACCTGGACTAGTGTCATTGTTGGAAGGCACCAAAAAAGATATAGATCCACTGCCACAATCAGTCCATAACTCCATCTTCAAACTCACTCTCTCCATTGTCTATAGGCAGTGCTGAAGCACTGACTCAAAGGAGAACTGAACTGCACTGAGTAGAATAAAATACAAAACCTTGTATCATGACTTCTAGCTAAAATACATGTTGTCTGGGCATTTTTGGAAATCAGCCCAATTATTGTACCCAGTAGGTTCCCCCAGGTTTAAATTCAGTCTGAGGCACCCCTCTTGATCAATGATCCCTTACATACTGGTGACATGGAAGTGCTCAAACCTATTTACAAGAACTCCACATTCACAGGAGTTCATTTTTTGTGCATGCACCAGAAGTAGAATTAATCTGTTAAAGGTCACTATTACCTGCAAAAAATGCGGGTTTGGTCATCTGTATACTTTCTCAGCAACAATCCTCCACTGCTGACTTTGTTCACATTACATCACAGACACACCTTATGAGTTACTGCAGTGCCACATTTATGTGGGTGGTTAATGAACTTTGATTCCACAGGCTTTAAGAGTTTGGCCTGGTTTCCTAAGACAGAGGTTTAATCATCTGAGAAGCACCAGAGCAGAAATCTTGAATATACTATACTAATTCTGAAATCAGACTGCTGGGTTCAACTTGAAGCTTACCAGTGCAGTGACCTTGGGCAATTTCCTTAACCTGTACATGCTTTAGTTTCTTCAACTATTAAATGAAGACAAATAGCAGCCTACCTCATAGGCTTATTGTGAGGATTAAATCAATGAATACATGTCAAATGCTTGGAATGGGGCTTAGAACAACAATTCCATAGAAGTATTTGCTATTCTTATTATTGGTACAAAAGCAATTCAGCTATAACTCACCTCTGGTATACCAGAGCCACAGGCGTATGGTGCAAATACGCGCACCAGAGAGACAGCCAAAAATGCAAACAGTAACGCCCACAGGATGTACATTAAGTAATTCACAATATAAGCGCTGGCACCCTAAACGGCAAACACAAAACAAGGAAGAAAACATGAGCAGCAGCAGACCTAAACAACATACCCAACCGTATCCCTCCACCATGAGAGCAACGCTTTGATGGGACTGAGCAGGTTTGTCCCTATCCTGCATAAATAAAAGGGCCAGTGTGGATTTTATCAGCCATTGCTATTGCTACAGTCATACATAATACAGCACTGGGTGTTCCACCGGGAGCTGTTTACACCACTCTTCAACCAGGTGAATCTCAGCAGTAATGGAAACCCTGAATGATCCTGGGGTATAATCACCACTTGTTCTAGAGGTAATAAAAGGTGTGACGCAGAAAACTCTGCCCCGGAGACTTGGGAAGATTTGTTTTGTCTTGTCTGTGGTGGGTTGGTCTCTCATAGCTTTCATTATGGCCACACCTGTACCAGAGCAAGCAACCTCAGAACCAACCCTGTTTCCAAGCCAAATGCCTCAAGTGTGGTCTGTGGACCAGCAGCATCAGCATCACCTGTTAGAAACAGGCACTGTGGGCCCCACCCCAGACCCGCTGAATCAGACACTGGGCGGGGCACAGCTTGGTGTGTTTCAACACACCAGGAGGCCCTCCAGGAGATTCTGACACACACAGGAACAACTAAGAGGCACTATTCCAGGGGAACGTTTGATTGTCTCTTTCTGAATAATTCACTGAGCCATTTACTCCAAATTGATCTGTGGGAAATGTTTTCTTTTCTTTTCTTTGTTTTTCTGAACCAAACACATATTGTGGAGTCTTCTAGGTCAAGGACCTGGTTGGTCTTCTGAGCAAAGGCCTCATTTCTCTAGGCTTCACCTTCTTACCACCAGCTGGGTTACTCAAGAAGGGGAGGAGAGATCATGTATAAGCCCGGCCATGCCTGAGCCAATGTGTGCCCATCAAACGCAAAAACACATACCTGGAGACGGTGCTGCAAACACAGACATATTCACGCCCTATGTGGTGAGAAATTGGGCTGAGGAATACCTTCCACCCAGTTAAATATGACTTTTTTTAGAGGCTAAAAATAACTTCTCACTCTTGTACACAGTAATTCTTTGAATCAAAGTATAAATCTTAAAGCCAAGTGAAAAGATGGATGACCATATTTCCCCCAAACACATACTGCAAGTAGGAGAGAAGAAAAAAAATTTGGTATCCAGCCAATTCAGCCTCCCCATCTCCATTAGCCCAAGTAGACATTTTTTTCTGGAAGTAAAGGAGAGTCCTGAGAACATGTGAGATTTCAAGATCCCTGTCTACTTCTGTGATGTGAAGGAATACATTTTCAATTCCACTGGGAAAGGGGTTTAGCAAAATGGTGAGATGCATTCCAAATATCTTCAGCTGTGGTAAGTCAGTCAGAAAAAAATGTGGGGAGGAAGGAGATAAAGAAATAGATTACATAGATCCTCTAAGCATAGTTCTAGCATGCACAGTCATCCCATCACCTGTAATGTGAAATGTGGTCGCCTAGCTTCTTTCATGTGGCTTCACCAATGACCCCAGCCCTTGGGTAACCACTAAATTCAGATAGAAGTAAACTCTTTGCTGAGCTAAGATTTGTATAAAGATCTGAAGCTCTAATTGCCATAAAGACACACTGTATCTACAGGTCACAGCTATGTTCCATGTAGAGGGGATACTGTCTTCATAGGAGGCCCAAGAGCATCCTCTCTAATGTGATCAGACAATGTAATGGGAGATGGTGACCTCAGTGAGATGTCACTTTCATACTCACCAGAACAGCTATAATCAAAAACAGATACTCATGCAGGTTGGCAAGAAGGTGAACAAATTAGAACCCTCATACACTGCTGGTGGGAATGTAAAATGGTGTATCTGCTTTGGAACACCTTTTGGAAGCTTCTCTCAAAGGTAAATACAGAGTTTCCATTCGACTCAATGGTCCCACTTACACCCAAGTGAAACAAAACACAGCCCCACAAAAAAGCTTGTACATGAAACCTTCATGGGAACAGCATTCGTAACAGCCAAAAAGTGTGTGTGCATATCAGCTGATGGACAGAAAAATAAGATGTGGCCTAGCCATACAATGGAAGATTATCCAGCCACAAAAAGGAAGGAAGTATTGATTCATGCTACATGAAACATGAAAGAATTGGAAAATATGCTAAGGGACACAAAGTCCACATGTTGCACAATTGCATTTATGAGAAATATCCAGAAGAGGCAAATCTATAGACAAAAGTAGATAAATGGTGGCCTAGAGCTGGCAGGTGGGGAGGACATGGGAGTGACTGCTAATGGATATGGGCTTTTTTTCAGGTGGAGGAGATGAAATTGTTCTAAAATTAGATCATGGTGATAGTTACATAACTCTGTGAATGTATTACAATCCATCAAGCTTTACACATTAATGGAAAGACCATATAAATAACATTTCCCTTTAATTAGAAAGGATTAAAACAACCCTATGTCTTCAGCATGATCAAGAAACCACCTTTGGTAAGAAAAGGCCAAATCCAAGGCTTATGACAATACTGTACACACGCTGTGCCCATGAAACAGCAGGGAAGGCTTTTCCGAGTGCAGTATGAGTGCCAGGAAATATTCATGGAAGTTGACAGCAAGGGCGGGCTAGGACCACACAAACTGGTGAGAGACCCCAGCCAGGACCCCGTGTAGACACCCACCTCTGACTGATTTACCAACAGTTCCGACCACTTCTGCCACAAAGGACACTTGTCCCTGTCTTCAAAAGTGGTCTCATTGGATGTCCAGCAGCACTGCTCGTGGCTGTACCAGAAAGCAGACAGGCAGACACCCTCCTTCAGATCGGTCATCCAGTCGACAGCAAGATCGATGACACCGGCCAAGGTGCCTGAAAGATTGAAGCCCGCAGATGAACTCAGCATCGGGAGAATGAACGCGCAGCACAGAACAAACACCCAGCGGCGACCTGGGTTTGCAAGCATGCTGGGGGCTGTGGCCTACATGGGAAGCTTCTTTGATTCTCTTGCAAGTTGTCTCAACATGTATGATGTGAGTAAGGCAGTGTCCAGCCCGATGGGAGAAAGAAGTTTTCAGTGGTTTAAATCAGGTAGAGAAATGTAAGCGTTACACTCTCCTGTCAAGCCACTGGGGCTGAGGGACTTTGGTCATTCATTCGTTTCTAGATGTGTGAAATAGGAATATGCACCATGAGGGACAGAACCCTTTGTGGCTGCTGGAGAAGGACCCTGAGGTCACACAGAGTGACATTTCGTAAGGAAACATGATAACATGGACAAAATGGAGGCATAGCAATTCTGACAGCGTCACATCGCAACTGAATAAAACTTTGCCACTGAGTGTACACTGTACTCTGGAAAACCACCTTCATTAGAACTTTCTGGACTTTTAAAATTATACATAAAGGCTTTGGGTATCTGTAAAAGTAAAGAAAAAGCTAACAGAAATGGAATAAAATAGGTGTAGTTGAGTGGGACACCAGAAGCTGCTTGTGTCTCTTTCCAGAACCACCCATTCTAGCCTGATATGAAAGTCAAGTATGTTGCCAGTAACTTTCCTCAGCACGTCTCTATCCCTGACAGCTGACCCCTCTTTACTATCCTGTCTCACCTTTTCTTATGCCATCCCCACTCCATGTTCAGGGAACAGAGTCTTATCTGCATAGTGGAAAGCACTTCTCTCCTGCACTGGGCAATCTCCTACTTGTCTTCCAGAGTAAAGCATTTCTATTATCTCTTTTGATAGGGCTTCCCTGATTTCCTAAGACTGAGTTGGGAGGCATTTCCAGGATCTCTGTGGCTACCTGTCCTTTCCCCAGTACCATACTTCATGCATGGTGGTATCACAATTAGCTAGATACATGTGTGTGGTGTGTATGCACACATGTGTGTTTGTACTTCCAAAGTTTACAAGTGGGGGGGGGTTACTGATTAGTTTTCAAACCATAGTGGAGATCAGGCCAGGCAACCAGACTCCATGTCCACTCCAAGTGGCTACAGACCACATCTGCCCTGTCTATGTTTTATCTATGTCAGGTACAAGGTTAGAACTATGTATCCATGTTGAATAAATGAGTGCAGTATGCAAATGAATGAAATATCAGAAAACTAGATCTATTCATCTGCTCAAGAGCTACTTATTGAGCACCTACTTCTGTGTGCCAGTTACCCTGTGGACACAGAATTGAGCGAAGTGGCCCCAAGTCCTTGTCTTTATAGAATTGTACCTTGTAGGCGGGGAGGAGATACTAATAATATTAAGTAAATGAATTAGGGTCTCTGCTAGGAGGCAATAAGTGCTACAGACAAAATACAGGACCCTAACAGAGTAGCCAATTCAGAAAACAACGTAGCAATTTCTCGAAAAGTCATTATTTGACCACCACTCCTCAGCAGACTTCTGTGTCCAAGAAAAACGAAAACATTTGCCCACAAAAAGAGTTGTATAAACTATCCCTGGAAATTGATGGAAAAACAAGGTGCTTCCAGGATAAAGAGGAACTAGGGGAATACGCAACCACCAATTCAACCCTACAGAGATTACTGCAGGATATTCTAAAAAAGAAAAATACGAAGAATCCAGAAATAGTGGCAGAGAGGCCACAATGAATGGAGCAGAAAACAAAATGAAGAAGACAAACTGACAACTAATGACAGAAAAAGAGCTCAACAGAAATGAGGCAGAGAAGATTGGATGATAGGAACAGCTATTTTGGAGAAAACAACGTCATAATGGGTAATGCTGATTTAATATCATCTTGCTTTGAAGTCTCATCAAGCTTTTGTTCTTCTGTCTCCATTGGTCTAAACAGGTTGTATCTTATTGGATTTTATTATATAGGATAGTATAAGCAAAAACTTTTATAGACAAGGAGATTATACAGAAACGATTGTTCATTTTCTGTTAGTTGATTCTAAATACCCTGTAATACTGTCATTCTCTTAAATGGTTTTACATTGTTTTGATATATTTGATGCTATCGTATACGAAGTTATACTCAAAGATTTCAAGGAAAGAGACAATATGGTAACTACTTTTATGTCGGGATGATCTTGTGGTGAAACACTATTTTGCTTAAATGGTTATGTTTTGATCTGTGCTGTTTTGCTGTTATGCCCTCTTTTATCTCAATCTGCATTTTATTATTTACTTTTTAATTTTTATCCTTTTAATTAGGGGAAAAATAATTTTAAAAATAGCAGGATATATTATAGTAACCCACTTTGACTTTCCATTATCTTGATTTGAAGCCCTGTATTGCTGTCACCATCTTGTTTTGATTGATGTTCCTCTATTCTGTTTTGCTTGATAGTACCAGGTTCGAAAGTTTAGGCAACAGCTGTGAAGATAGTGGGATTCATTATGACGCCCATTCTGGTTGACTATTATCTACTTTTGAAGACCTATAATGTCTCCAATGTTTTGGTTTTATCAGTTTTGTTCTTTACTGTTTTGTTCAATTTTATTGTGACTGATGATATAGGCAATTCTATTAGAGATAACGGGAGGCACTATGGTAACCATTATTGATCACCTTGTATTATGCTTTTACATTATCTATTATGTCCACCCTTTTGATTTGACTGACTCTGTTCTGTTATGTCACATTTGGTTCTACTCTCTTCCAAAAAAGTAATAAGAACTGTGCGAGCAACAAAACCCCAAATGTGTAATTGTCATTGTACAAAAGAGAGGAAAAGAAAGTGCTCTTAAATGATATAACTGCATGTATGTTTAAGTGTATAAGATAGATAATGATACTACTGAGTTTTGTTGGATCATTGAACAGAACTGTTTGCAGTCTCACTGTTGGAATGTCCACTTTATAAGCTTTAATTTTGTAACTTGAACAATTACTTCTAAGATGACAATATGTAATCCATTAAGTAGTGATTTCCTACTGTTTATTTTTTTCTGTAAATCTGTATAACTTGTACCCTTTCTCTGCTTTTTTTCTTTTTCTCCTTAAATAAAATTTTAAAAAAAAAGAGTTGTATACAAATGTTCATGAAAGCACTGTTTAAAGTAGCCAAAAAGTGGAAATAACCCAATTATGCATCGATGGATGAAAGGATGAACAAAATGCGATTTGCCATACAATGGAATCATATTTGACAATTAAAAAGGAGGACAAAGTACTGACATGCTACAACAAGAGTGAACCTTGAAAAATTATGCTGAGGGAAAAGCCACAGAGACCACATGGTATACAATTCTGTTTATATAAAATGTCCAGAATAGGGAAATCCATAGAAACAGGAAGTAGATTTGTGATCATCTTGGGCTGGCACTCGATAACTAAAGGGTGCAGAGGGTCTTTTAAAGGTGATGAAATTGTTCTAAAATTGATCACGGTGATTGCTGAACAACTCTTGGAAAACACTAGATTGTACATTTAAATGGGTATGTGAGTTACATTTCAATAAAACTGTTACATACATAAATGTAAACAGCGGGTGAGGAAGACAGGCTTAGAGAGGGATGTGATTTTAGAGATCAGCAAGAGTTTCAAATGGAAAATATTTTAACAAAGGACTGAAGAAGGTGATGCAGGGGGCCCATAGATATTCGCGGGCAAGACTCAATGAGCACCCCGCATTCCATCCTTTTTCTTTCATTCACAGTTACATTCCACACCCAGGCTTCTTTGCTGATTCTACTTCCCTGGTTGTCCCTCCGCTTTGTGGTGCAACACTGCCACCCAGTGGTGCCTCTTGATAAAAACACTCTACAGAGAAGACACTGATAGATGGATTCTCCAGAGGGCACCAATAAAACGTCAGGGGGCCTCTAAGGGGAGGACTGGCCATGCAGTAGGATGCATGATTCTCTCCACCGCTAGACCAGCAGGGAAGGAGAACAAATTTCCCTCCAAGGTGCATTCAGATCAAAAGAACACATGAGCCACCTTTGTTTTTACTGTTTCCCATTTCTTGCCCTGCTGTGTTCATTTGCTGTGTCCAGGGAATCTGCCTCCTCTGTGAGTCTCACCCTTGGCTGCACTTTTGAATCATGAAGGGGAAGGAAAAGGGCTTTACTCAATGCTGTTTCCTTGAAGCCTGGGCAAGAGACTATTTTAAATTCCCCAGACGATTCCTCCTGACAGGAACGATGGAAATTAGGTTGCAAGTGAGATCAGCTGACAGGAACGATGGAAATTAGGTTGCAAGTGAGATCAGCTGGTCAAAATCAGATGGATTAAAGATAGCCCAATAGGATCCCTAGATTAGGCAATATATCTAGGTTGTGCTGTTTATTCTGCCAAGACTCTAGAACATCTCTTATCAGTTCCTTTGTCTCCCACCCCATTTACCTCTCTTTCCTAGCAGCTAAGAACAATGATGCATTGTAAAGTTTTATAAACCTCTGCATAAAGGCATCAAAATTCACAGCAAACCCCAACACAGTCACCTTCATAGAAACAGTCATGCAAAAAATTGATGGCAAAATATTGCATCTACCTACTGGGTCCAGTTCCTCCCTGGTGGCTACATTCCTATACTGGGAAGAGCAGTGAGGAAGGAAGGACAGAACTGAAGAAGTGGACAGCCAGCCACTGTGACCAGTAGCAAGAGACTCTACCCTTCTTGCCCAGGCATGCCTCTTGGCTCTTTATGGCATGCAGAGGCAGACAGGGCAGGAGGAGTGCTTCCCTGGCAACCAAACCCCTTCCACGGATACCTTCGGAATACATGAAAGCTCTCCCAGGGACCAAAATCCTCTATAATCACAAAATCTTATCTGCGCCCCATTAATGTTCTGTCTGCCTTAGTTTCAGGAATCCCTTTCCAAGAAGAGCTGGTATATTTTGTCTTTAAAATGGCAGGCTTCCCCTCCAAATAGTCATGCACTTACTCTGGAAATATCTACTGCTCACAAACATAGCACTGGGATTATAAAAGGACACAGAGACTCTGAGAGTCAGAACAATGTAGGGAACGGGAATGTTTCCCCCTGGGCCCACCCTAGGTCCTGTGGGTGGGTGTCTAGCATTATGTTGGGGGCCACAGGATGTTCACAATCCATTTTATGGGTCTCCAGTAGTACTCCTGAAATTTCACATGGTGCTTCCTGATTGAAGATCAAGTGTTTCCATACTTTGATGACTTCTACATGACCAAGGTAATTTGCAAGGTAGGTTTTCAGGAAAATCCACTGTGGTGGTAAACTATAGCACCTACCATGTGGAAAGGCTGACCAGCACTATAATTACAGCTCACCAAGAGCCCATGCCTTGGGCTTGATGATAGATTTTAGGCTAAATATATGCTTGTGTATTTTGTTCTTACATATTTTAGGTAATAAACCCTTGCATAAGGAGTAAAAAGATAAACACTTCCTATTCCAAATATCCTCCCAAGTAGCTGTGGTTGTGGATCCCAGCCTCCCCAGCCTTGCCAGCTAGTACTGCCTACCCTGCCACATACCCGCCAGCAGCCCGATCAGCAGCATCACTACCCATCCTGACCAGGCATCCAGCAGACTCTTGATGAACTCCCAAATGGACTCCTTGCTTTTGCTGGTTATCTAGAAACAAAGAGACACAGCAGTTGATCTCAACACGTTTCTCAATTCAAGCTTCTTTCCCTGAAATGGTTTCCTTGGGAAACAATGATAGAGAAAATGAATGCAACTAAGCAACTAAATTCCCAGTTACATGATTCATTCAGTACCACACCACGATGATAAAATGGCCTTTCAAGTTCACATAGCTATAAAGATGCCATAAGATGGCATTCTCTAAATAATTACAGGGCAAAAACTCCACTTAATTTAAAAATATTATGATTTACTTTTTGATTATTTAAAAATCCATTCAGAAGTGAGACACTGATTCGGCATCACCAGTTTGAATATGAGTAAGTATTTTAGTTTACATTGTAAGGTGTGTGCATTAAGAAGCATATCTAAGTGGTGGCACACGCCTGTAATCCCAGCACTCAGGAGCCTGAGGCAAGAGGACTGCCCAGTGAATTCCCAACCAGCCTGGACTACATAGAGAACCGTTGTTTCAAATAAATAAATGCCTATTCAATAGACTCTGTTTGCTACTTTTGTTTTCAGGGTTAATTTTAGCAGCATGAACTTTGAATCGGCTAGGCAGATGTGTCAGCCCACGTTGTAAGAATATCTCTTTTCCTCCCACTTTCGACAGACTACTTCGTCCTGAGATCATCATTCCCCTCACAGCCCTTAAGAGAGGTGGTCAGCAAACACTTTCTGTAAAGGGCCAGGGAATAAATATTTTGAGCTTTGTGAGGCCCGTGGTGTCTATTCCAGGGACCCAACTGTGCCTCAGTAGCACAAAAGTAGCCATGAAAAATATGAAGTAGCCATGAAAAAAAGAATAGGCACACATGAGTTCCAGTGAGTATATTTACAAAACAAGGAGCCAGCTGGCTTTGGCCTGAGCACCATAGTTTGCTGATCCCTGCTCTAGAGCGAAGGCTTCTCTCTCTGCTACGTTCAGAAATGACCGTTTTTAAAGCTTCAGCACCCACTTACACGCCAGGGACCCCTCATTCTCCACCACCACCCTCGCCTCATCCTTGAACTGCAGAGGTCCTCTGTCTGCTGAGCCCCAGCTCCAGCTGCAGCCCTGGCATGCAGCTCAAACTCAAAGCGTGAGAAGCAGCATGCACTGGCTCCCTCTGCCACCCACTGCTGCTCCTCTCCCTCATTCTCAGCAGCAGAGGCCACAGCCTGCTATTCCTCAATGGGACCCTACCCCTTCCCTCCAGCCCTCCTCGAAGCCTGTCAGTGAAGCCTCAGAACAGCTCTCCACCCTGTCCCCTTTCCATCTGCACCTCATTGTCTTTAGTCAGCCCTCCTTCTTTCTACTGAGCTAACTTTTGAGCTGCCTCTTCCTCCCTTCATTTTATCCAATTGTGTGACTTTCAATATAAAATATACTCTTCTCCACAGCCCAAGTGGTCGTTACCATCATGGCCCCACTGCCCTCATTTCCAAACTTGTCTTTATACCTTCTTTTCATGAATCCTCCTGTATACCCCAGAAGCTCTCTGAATTGCCCACATGTACCATGGTCTTTCATGCCTTAAGAAAAGCCACTCCAGACGTTTACAATCCTTTCCCCTCTCTCTGACGAGCCAACTCTTAGTCATCCTTCAAACCCCAAATGAAATGTGAAGCGATTCCTTAGGGCTTTACTTGGTATCAACTAGCTATCAAGCACTGTGAAAATGTCCCTTCGTACACACGCCATTTCATTCAGTCTTCAAGTGAAATTAACTCCATCTTCGTGGATGAGAAAACAGGGCCCAGAAATGGCAGCCTCAAAGATACCCAGCCTGAATGTGTTAGGGGCAGGATGTGCCCCAGATTTACCTGGTTCCAGGGCCCCTCTTGCCTCCACACTACATTCTCTCAGCACAGCACAGCCTCTCACCCAGAGCACGTGCCATCACAATTTCCTGTCCCTGTCTTTGCCTCTCACTCACCCTTCTCCTCTGCATGTAACTGTGGCACGGGAACCTCCATTCGAGCTCCAGGATCTGGGCACAAATGCACAGTACAGTCATTTGTGGATGGTCCCTTCAGTGATGTCTTTGAGCACCACTTACCTTTCTGTGTCTGTCAGTGTCCCGTGACTTTTCCCTCAGCCAGTCAATGGTGTGGAAGTCCTCATAAGTCCCCACATCAGGAAATGGTTCGTCAAGGAAATCCATCAGGTTTCCGGAGCCGCTCATCACTCCTGCATTGACCATGCTACTTACACCTGGAGGAGAAAACCAGTGTTTAAAACTGAAGTAGGGGATGATGCAGGGGTTCTGTTTTCTTGTATAAGAAAAAGTATCTCAGCATAAGCATCTCTGTTACAGTGTAGTATATATACCCACCAGCTCTCATAATTCACCATCAGTTGCCTCTTTTTTGCAGTGCTAGGGATAAACCCAAGGCTTTAACACTGAGCTACATTCTTAGGCCCTCCCTTGCCCCTTTTTGAGACAGGATCCCCCTAATTTTCTGAGTTGCACAGGTTGGGCTTGAACTTCTGATCTTCCTGCCTTAGCCTCCTAGAGTACTAGGAGTATACAACTGTGCCACCATGCCCAGGAGGTCATCTATAAAATCAGGATTTCTATAAAATCACTGCCAACACTGAACCAGAAGAGGGTGATAGCTGAATACGGTGTAATCCCAGCTATTCAGGAGGCTGAGGCAAGAGAATTGCAAGTCTGAGGCCAGCCTGAACAGCTTAGTGAGTCTCTGTCTCAAAATATGCAAAGGACTGGGGGGTGTGATTCAATGGTAGTGTCTACCTAGTATACACAATGCACAGGGTTCAATCCCAACACCACGAAAAAGAAAATACTGAACCACTAATCCTAAAAGTATCCATGTTTAAATTCTTGTGAGCTTCTGGTCATAACAATTTTGTCACCTGACTAATAGATAACCTTGTTTTATGTGTGCTTCTGTTTAAAGACACCTTATTTACCATATACTGCTGGCTGGTTTACATTGAACTCACAGTCAATGGCACTGTTACTCATTCCTAAACAAAGTTCCTCTAACACTTGTATTTTCTCCACAGGGCACATCACAATCTTTTCATACTTAGGAATGCTAGACAGCACTGTATTTCAGGGCCACTTTAAATAGTAAAATCTCTGATAAAAAAAAGCAAAACAAAAAAGTGTGGCACTTGGGCTGGGGATTTAGCTCAGCAGCATACACACCTGCCTGGCAAGCATGAGGTTGTGCATTCGATCCCTGGTACCCCCCAAAAAAGTTTGGTACTAAATAGACCAAAGAAAGGGTGCTTGTTTTCAGTACTGATGGCGAAAACAAAGGCAAAATGTCACCTTCTGTAACCTCAGCTGCTAGTATGTGTTTCTAGCAACTCAAATTTTTTGTCATACTGCACGTGTATGTTAGTGAATGACCTTAAAAGCACTGTTAGTACTGATTCTGGGGTGCTAGAATTAGGATCTGAAATATGTACTAAAGACCCAGGTTGGCACTGTTGGGAGGTGGTGGAAACTTTGAGAAGTGGAGCCTAAAGGGAGATCCTTAGGTTATTGGGACATACACGCCTGTAGAGGTGACCGCGGGACTCCACCCTCTTCCTCTTCTGTGTTCCCACCTGAGGTGAGTACCTTTGTTCTCCCATGTGTTCCCACCATGATAAGCTGCCTTGCCACAAGCCCAAAACAAAGGAGCCAACTGATGATGGGCTGAAACTCCAAAACTGTGAGCCAAAATAAACCTTTTCTCTTTGTAAGTTTATTGCCTCAAGTGTTTTATTACTGTGACAGAAAGCTGAATAACATGTATTAATCAGTTTCCTGGTTGCTGGGACAAAATACCCAATGCATGCAATTTAAGGGAGGAGTTTACTTTGGCTCATGTTTCAGTCCATAGCCAGCTTACTCTATGGCAGGACAGCATGGCAGAGGCCCACAGCAGAGGAAAATCTGCTTATATCATTATGGACAGGAAGCACACAGCAAGTGAGAAGCCAGGAGCTATAAACTCATCAGCAGACTAATCCGTGGATGACGATAGCACTTTCATTATCATATCACCTCTCCAAAACTCCACCTCTTCATGCACAAGGATTTGGGGAGACCTTCAGATACAAACCATAACACTAACACAGGGGGCTACAAAGTAAGTTTGAACAAACAAGCAAATTTGCAATTACAGAGTCCACATATGAAGATCAACTGTATGCATTTCTGAAAAATCTCAGGTTCTAAAAAAAAAGAAAGCATCAAAGGAGAGAGCTGGAGGAGCAAATAATTGGAAGAAAGTTGATAAGCAGTTCCCCTGGGAGCCAAGTGGACCCCCTATGAGGCAGGCAGCCTGTGTGGTTGTCATCACAGACATTCCAAATACACTGTAATAGAATGAAATGCTGGCACCACTTTAATTCCCTGGCAGGAACCAAAGCAATTAGTAGATAGCAGCAGCTCTCTGCACCAGGGGGCGCCACTCTGTAGTGGGATAAGACAGGCAGGACAATCTGTCATGACCCAAGCAAGAGCCAAGCAAAGACAGTGGCAAGGAACTCCAGGTGCAGATGCTTATTTTTAATTTTTCTTAAAATACAGTTAAAAAAGACTCCTGCTGCCAAGGCAGTAGCAAAGTTGAATATGACTTCCTTTCTTGTCTAAGATAACAATTTCCTTCCTGCTCTTCAAGTTTCTGTTGCCTGGAAAATCATCACAAGTGAATCAGTCAGTGCATCTGTTCCATTCTACCACCATCAGAGCTTGATCTGTAAATCACATAGGAACTCATTTCAGACGCAGAAAATGCTTTGCAGCAAGACCAATGCTCACCCAGTTGGCAGAAAAGAATAATACATTCTTACAGAGAAGAGAGGGTGGAATAAGCACTAAATAAAAATTGCTTTGGCAAAGAGTATGGAAATTTGAATTACAGGATAAGGACCACAAAATTGCTGGAATGGATGGTTAAAAAAGTGAAGGTGGTTATAAAAATATTTGAGTGCAGACATCTCCCATTGCTTTATACAGTTATGTATTTTGAGGACTCAACCATGACTTGATGAAACTGAGTTTTAATCAAATTGAAAAGCCACTATGGGCAAAGTAGGGTAATCACCTTACAACCAATACAGTGGCCATGATGACTGATTTATTGGCCATCTGTGAAACTTGGTTACTTTAAAGTTTTCAAAGTCCGAGGTTTGAGCTGTGCTATACCCACTGATGAGTACCCAGGGAAATATTATGTTGCATAAGTCAGTAGCAACCAATAACATAACCAATAATATAAGGGAAGAGATAAAACTAGAAAGCAGAGATTTCATTCTCATTCTACAAAAACACTACGGTCATAATCTCTTATTATATGTGGTGAATAAAATTGAATATCTCTGATGGGAAAAATAAGATGACAAGCTGTTGACCCACAATGCCAAGTCCTTACCAGAGAAACCCAGCCAGACAGCACACAGGACTGCAGAAACTTAGACAATCTCTTCAAAATGCATTGATATGACCTGAAACTAACCAATTCTCTAGTCAAGCAACTCCTCCAGGTAATAATGCTTGAAACAGAAAGTAACTCTGGAGAACAATTACATTGTCAAACTTTGATACAGCATGGCAAGGGCAAAATCAACACATACATAATTAGCAGAAGAAAAGAAACAGGATCCAATCGGCAGAGTCTCTGGTGCTTCCTGGGTGCCCAAAAGGAAGTGGTGATGTCACTTCTGAGGTTGGGGTTAAGAGAAGAGGAGCAGAGACTCAGAAGAACCAGAAAAAGTACAAGAAGCAGGCAGCTGAGTGAGTAAACCAGAAGGGATGCTGTCTGGGACCCAGTAAGGAGGTGAAGATAGAGGAGCAACTGAAATCTAGACAGCATGGGGCAACAGGGATTGCTGCCAAGGAACTGTTAAAATTGAAACTTAACTTCTGTCATCTCAGTACAACACAAGGATCACTGCAAGTGGACATGCGAGCTCATCTGTATCTAAAAAGAGGGGTCTTGTACATCACTCAAATATTTTTAATCTTTTCTCCAGCAGAAGCATTTCTGCTGGCAGATGACACCTCTGCTTATGGCCTTGAGGCCATGGTTTCAAGGAAGAACATCATCCTAGAGCTGAGTCTGAGGTTTACACTGAGCCTGGATCATAAGTGTTCAGGGCTCAGCAAACTGTTGCCCATGGGCCAAATCAGGTTGCCTGGTTTTGTAAATAAAGTTTTATTGGCACACAGTCATGCTCACTTGTTTACATGTTGTCTATGGCTGCTTTCATATTACAACAGCAGCAATGAATTACAACAAAGGTCACATGACCCAGAAACTCTAAAATGCTTATTATCTGGCCCTTCACAAAAAAGTCTGTTGATTCCTGATCTATGCTGTAGCCTGACTGCAAAAAATGGCCCATATCATCTATTGCATTCTTTATCCAAGTCTTGCCAATGTGATTTTGCAGTTCTTCTTCATTAAGACATAGAATTTGTTCCTCTATTCCCATAAGTCTCAGCTGGCCTATAACATGTGGAAGCATGTATATACTGAGCCTAGACCCCCAAGAGTGGATGCAGTCTCTGCTTGCTTTCTTGAACCTCTGCCCCCACCATGAGAAGCAGCCTTGGCTACAATGGTGAAGATGACAGATGGAGGTAAGTGGAGTCATCTCAGTGAGGCCACTCGAGATTATCTAAGCCTTGTGAGTCCAGATTTATTTATTTATTTGTTTGTTTATTTTTGGTACCTGGTATGGATCTCACAACCTTGTGCTTGCCAGGCAGGTGCTTATGCCACTGAGCTAAATCCCTGGCTGTTTCCAGGTTTATATGTGAGCCCAGCCAAGACCAGTCACCTTTGGGACAACCTATAGCAACTTATAGACTTATGAAAATAATAGATGGCTAGTGTAGGGCTGGTGATGTAGCTCAAGAAAAGAGTGAGCACTTAGCATGTGCAAGATGCTGGGTTTAACTCCCAGCAAATATATATATTTATATATATATATAGTCTGAGTTCTTTGAAGGAGCTGCTATGTACAGTGTCATAATGGGCCACAAATAAAAGTGACTTGGGCTTAGAGGGAGAGCAAAGGGAAGACAAGTCCTGTGAGCTGTGGCAATGCAGACCAACTCCAGGGGAAGAGGATTATGACAGCCACAGATGACATCACCGGCAGAAACAGAATAGAATGGAATTTTTCCCTAGTTTCCCTAGTTCTTTCTGGCTGTGTCCTGCCCCCCAAAATAGCATCCTTCC